TGTGGAAATGTTTTCTTTCGATCGTGTCAAATGGACATCGTTCCCGGTGATAAGTACGACATTTTGTACCGCTAACGTCTCGCGAATCGTTAACTGTTACGTTGGTAAATCGATAAATCGTAGATTCAAATGATAAGAGCGAACGGAACGCGTTTACCGTAAAGTTATAGTCGAAACTTTTGCGGCTTACGAGGGCCTGCTTTCGAACTTACCGGAGCCATAGTTCACAGTTTCGTCTAGCTGCGCTTAAAAGATTGGCCGCACCGCGTTGCACTTTTTTCGGTTGCATCCATTTTTGCGAGTCAACGTACGGGAAACTGTCTCGCGAGAGTATCCAAGACGGAACAACTTTCTACGAATCGTGCCAAATTGCTTGCACCGTTTCGAGATGTTGGTAAAAACACTCTATCAGGCAACACGGGTCGACGCGAACAATGACGCGACACGAGCCGTGAAAAAATTATTTTCTGCCTCGAGATGCAAACGGAGGAACCGCACACCGGACGGAACAAAGATTGTTCTCAAAATTTGAAAAATGGCTGACAGAATCGGTAGTTTTTCGAGCCCTCTCCGCCCGCGTTGGCGATAAAACCAGAAATTTCAGCGGCCGTCCTTCTTCCAACAAAATTTTATGTCGCGTTACGAGTCGTTTCGAGCGGCCACGAGATCGATTACGAAAAATTCAAAATGTACGCTCTCGATACGGCAAGAATACCTAACAAAATTTCATCTTCAACCTTCCGGCTACCGTAGGCCGATAAAACACAGCTCCGCGTATCATTTTTTCAACAACTCGTTGGCCATATTTGATCCGCCATTTTGTTTTTGGAATTTTGAAATTCAGACTCGCAATTCTGCGCCCACGAAAACCCTTGGATACAAATTTTCAAATAAATCCGTCGCTGTTTCTTATATTGACCATGATTTCGAGCTTTTATACCACTCGAACGTCGAGTGCCGTACCAGCGTTCGCAAACGACGCACAAAATCGGGACAAATTGTCCAGAAATAAATACGCGTTGCTTTCAATTATTATCTTGTATACGATTCTCTCTTGTCGCTTCTCCGAAAATGGAACCGTTTTCACGGATACTCGAAGTAAAATCGGTTGAAACTTTCAACCGCCTCGCTGTTCGCCCGTTCGCACACGATCCTAAAGGATTTTAATAACACCGGAATAAAAATTGTTCGGCGTCGAGTTTCCAGCTTCCAGTGACGCAACTAAAATTTGCGTGTCCGAGGCCGTTCGAGAGACGGGCAGGCGTTAAAGAAGGTATCAGAGTGGAAAATGAAGAGCCGAGGTCAGCCAGAAAAGGGCTGCCTGGTTGATACGAATTTATCGATAATTTTCATCTAGGCGTGCCGGCGCGGCGCGTTCGTTTCTTAAAAGGGTTCCTCGTTTTAGAATATTCCGAGCGCTATTTTCATTAATTTCGCTCGATCGCCGTCGAACAACTCGCGGCAAGGAATTTCTTCTCCAAGTGCCGGAAGATCGTATTTTCTCACCCTTGAGCAAAATATACGAAACGACCTTGAAATCGTTCACACATTAGGGAGCCAGTGGCGCCATTCGACTCTCCGCTTCGAATACTACAAAGAACGCGTGTCGATTTCTTTTTTAAATCACGCGTCTACGAGATTTTTTACAATTTCCACCGAAACGCGACACCCTGGGCTCGAACGTCGGACGACGGCGCATTCGAATTCGCGGTTCTCGAATATAAAATCGAGATACGATCGCGGGACAAGACCTACCGGCACCAGATTATGTCAATATTTCCTCCGCGGAACTGTTCGATCTCGCTAAACAACGGCCAACAACGTAATAACCAGCCCCGCCGGCGCGTCGCGGCGGATAATACGCGGGATTTATGTATCGAATTGAACGGACTCGGTAATTTCTGCCGAGGGGAAATCGTTTTCCCCGGTGATCGTCGCCGGCCGAGGGAACGACCGTCCACAAATCATAGACGGAGGCGATTCGTTATCGTGATCTATGCGTTGTGTGCCGAGAGAACGATCGAAGAAACCAGACGGGACGAGCGATCGAGCGCGGCAACTGGAAACCGTCCGCGTACGCGTACGCGCATAGGCGTAGGCGCGGTGGATATTATTTAGCCGGACCTTTCTTACTTTCATTTTAGAGACGGTCCCGCGATCGATCGCCGCTGAATTACGCGAGCCCGATCTAATTACGGGCGTAATTGCGCGTACGTCGCGGGAAAATACGCGCCGCGACGCGTCTATTCTCGGCGAACGGATCCCCGTGTAATATATTTCTCCGAATTTTCGTCGTAGAAACAAATTGTACCGCTAATATGAACACGCTGCAACGTTAATTGATTATTTTCACCGCGACGGAGAAGCTCGCGAAAATATCTGAAAACGCTCGCGGACGATTGTTAACGTTGCGAACGTTGTTAACGGATTAACGACGTTAAATTATTAATCGCGTTCGTTCGTCACCTTTCGCGAACAAATCCGCGCTTTTCCGAACTTCGTGATATCAATTTTCACCGACCGGGATTTGTTCGATCGGAAAATGTTTTTCTCGACCATGGCGCGGCATTTTTTCCCGAAAAAATCTGGAAAAATTCGAGAAGAATAGCCGCGGTAGCACGGTTTTTTTCGCTCTTCAAATATAAACGACGTTGCTTTTGCACGATCTTCTATGGAGAAATCCGCGTTTTTTCGAACTTCGTGTGACACGAATTTTTTAACAACCGAGGATTCCGGCGAAAAATAATTCTCGGACAATAGTTGCGACAGGTCGCTGGTTATTCTGGTAAAAATATAAACGACGTCGCCGAGCTCGGAACGAGCATCAGAAATTTTCGACAACGAAAAAATTTGGAAATCTGCGAATCGTAGGAAATCATTGTTTTAAATACGTGTGCAGTTAGGGAGAAGAGTTTCGACAGGGTCGATGTAACTCTTTAAAAGGATACGCGACAATCGAAACAGTTTGTTTCCTTTATATATATATATATATAATATAACATATATAATAATATAATATAATATAATATAATATAACATTTGAGAGATTTTCCGCGATGTATTTTAGTCATCGTTGTTCAACGATCGATAAATACGCGGCTCGCCGCAATTAAAATTGACGCGCACGGGTTCGTTCGAATCGTTCGGAACTAAATTAATTTCCCTTTGAGAGGGGCCGGCGGACGTGCATCGCGAGTCGATCGACTCGCGGACGCGCGTCAGCGGCAACGTAGAACGTTCGCGATGGAAAGGTTGGCAAATTTCTGCTTACTTTCGCGACGCTTGTCCCAGTTACCGGGGCGACGGGGCTTTCAACCCCTTAAGTGCCGTGGACCACGGTGTCGATGGTGCCGCGAAGGATCGTCTCCCGACCACCATCGAAGCCGTTCGCGAGAGAAATAAGAAATAATCCGCTAACGATATGCTAACAAGTGTCGCGCGAGCGAGCGAATTTCGAGACGCGATCGAGCTTAGGGATCGTTCGAAGAATTCGCGGACATTCCACGATGTCGGGCAATTTTCGCCGAACGCGCGCGTCGACGGATGAAATATCGAGTGAGAAGAGGTGTCAGTTTTGCCCAGCAGGCCCGCTGACGCTTTATCCACCGCGACGGAATTAATCGAGGGGACGTCCTGGACGTGTCCTGCGGCCGACGAGACAGGATAACGGACACGGACACGGAGCTCCGTCTCGCGTCGCGCCTCCGGTCGCAGAGCATCCGCCATGTTGTGCCGTGATGCGAGGAATAGAAAGAAAAAAAAATCAAAAAATCAATATTGTCTTCGCGACGATCTATAACACGATCGTAATCTCGAATCTTTATTCGTACGAGAACGATTTAAAAGAAGAGAAACGAAAAAATAACCCTTTGCTTCCTCAAGCATTTGTCTCACTTACTGACGCTTAGATCGCGCACGATAATGGACAATTTGAGGAGAGGAGAATACGATTATTCGATCCTTGCGGTTCCATTTTTATAGTTACGAATTGTCGGCAACTATAAAAACGAGCTGCAAGGCTCGAATTCGAGTGTCAGTAAGGGAGACATTATTGTACAGTAATGTCTCCCTTATCGACGCTTGGATCGCGCACGAAAATGGACAATTTGGGAAGTGGAGAATACGATTATTCGATCTTTGCGGTTCCATTTTTATAGTCACGAATTTCTTTTATTNTCTAATTGACGCTCAGGTTCTCCACAAAAATGGACAATTTGGGAAGAGGAGATACGATTATTCGATCCTTGCGGTTCCATTTTTATAGTTACGAATTGTCGGCAACTATAAAAACGAGCTGCAAGGCTCGAATTCGAGTGTCAGTAAGGGAGACATTATTGTACAGTAATGTCTCCCTTATCGACGCTTGGATCGCGCACGAAAATGGACAATTTGGGAAGTGGAGAATACGATTATTCGATCTTTGCGGTTCCATTTTTATAGTCACGAATTTCTTTTATTTATAGAGAATTTCTACGCGCTTCCGAGAGGATCGCGATTCGATCCGCGATTTCTGATTCAGCGGGATTTCTACCGCTTTCGAGCGTCGCGCGGGCCAGCGATTGGAATTATTAGAAAATCACGCGTTCGCGTGGAAACGAAGTTTTTCGGACAGGGTACCTCGGTTTTCTCGATTCGACGCGATTCGATCGATCGCCGCCCCTTTCGTATCGCATCTTACGGGACATCTGTCGCCGTCCTGCCTCCCAAAAATCAGGTCAATATTTTCGAGATACATACCGATTTAACCGACACTCTCGAGCTGCGAAACGAGCGCGTTTCCGAGCCGACGAGCCGACTGTGCTCTCGCGAACAGATTTTTCAGATTGGTTCGCAGCATTCGCATCGGATTCTTTTTAGGGCAACAAAGGAACAACCGCGATCCTCGGAACGAACGCGTGCGTGTTCTGTTTAACCCTGGCGTTGATTGAAAATCCAGCTATTCGCGCGGATCGATCGTGCCTAGGAACAATGGCGATCCTCGGCACGTGGAAACATTGTAAAGAAATTGACGCGACGAGCCGCGCCGCGCCGCGCCGCGAGACAGCGCGGGCCCGCGCCTTTGTCGATGACCGATGCGTCGTGCAACGACGAGATTGCTCGTTATCGGCCATCCGAAGAAAAACGTATCCTGTTCCTTCGTTCGGAAAGAGGAAGCTAAAAATCCAGCGCGAATATTTTCGTTTCGCCGCGATCGCACGCGCCGCCTCGACTCGCGTCGCATGAAACAACCCCCTGGAAAACAGGAAGCGCTTGCACGCCACGGATCGCGAGCATCGGTCGCGAGCGTCGATTTTTTAGCCCGAAAACCGGAACGCTCGTCGACGAAGCGCGAAGCGTGAAGCGTCGAGCCTCGCGAAGCTTAAAGCGCGAAGCGTAGAGTTTCGCGAAGCGTCTGCCACTTTCGGCGGCTGTGTTTTTCACCGGAAGTGGTGTAAAAAACACCGCCGGATTATTGACAGCGTGTTGTGCAAGGTGTCGTTGTCTTTGACGAGCGAGCGTCTCTGTGTGTCCATCGGTTCGAAAGTTTCGGCGCAACACGGAAAAAGCGGAATCGCGGATTGTAAACGTCGGGGAGGATGACGAACGAGAGCGGCAGAAACAATAGGGCGTAGGGGTTGCGGGTTGCGGGCTGCGGGAGCGGAGGGCCGAGGCCGTTCTCTTCTCGGTGCCACGTTGCTCGTCCAACAAGTAACTCGATACCGAGGACGGCACTCGAGGCTGCGCAACCCGGTTCCGATGAATTTCGATCTCGTCTATCGGCACCGGCCCGCGTCCCGTCCCCCGTCCCCCGCCGCTATTCTACCGTCTCGAATGCTCCGTCTCGCTATGGAAATTTTTCGGAACGTCTGGCGGGGGCGGAATTAAAGGGAATTAATTCTCGACGCTTCGCGAGACTCGACGCTTCGCGCTACACGCTTCGCGAGACTCGGCGCTTCGCGCTTTAAGCTTCGAAAGACTCAACGCTTCGCGCTTCGCGTTGCACGTTTCGCGCTTCGTCGACGAGCGTTCCGGTTTTCGGACTAAAAAATCGGCGGTCCCGACCGATGCTCGCGATCCGTGGCGAGCAAGCACTTCCGGATTCGTTGCTCGCAATCGTAATCGCGTCGCTTTCGATACACTTATTTGGGACCGCTGCTTCGACGATTCCGAATCGATTAAAAACGCTATAAGAGGAGTTGCAGGCGGCTGGCTTTCCATTAGAAGCGCACACAGGTCTATCGAGCAAAGCAAACAACGTATCGTCCTGTTTCTAGACGCTCTTGCGTCACGGTAATACCGAGAATGGCTAGCCAAGAAGTGCCGTAACAATCGAAAGGACAACTTTCGGAAAGGTTTCTTTCGTCGAGAGTGTTAACCCTTTGGAGTCCATCGGGACGTACGCGTGTCGTCTACGTACAGTAATGTTTCCCTTATCGACGCTTAGATCGCGCACGAAAATACACAATTTGGGAAGAGGAGATACGATTGTTCCAGCTTTGTGGCTCTTTTGCTATGGTTATAGATTGTCGACAACTATAAAAATGAACTTCGAGGCTCGAATAATCGTATCTTCTCCTCCAAAATTGTCCATTTTAGTGGACAATCTGAGCGTCGGTAAGAGAGACATTACCGTATACCAGTATTGGAGTACACATATTCGCACATATTCGTTTGCATGTCCCAGCCCTTAATATAAGATCTAAAAGGGACAACTTACGCTAATAAAATCAACATTTCTCGTTATTAGCGTCTATATGTACGTAAAACTTGACTTCGGATATAACGCGAATTAACGAAAAATAAATCAGTCTCCAAGGTATCAAGGTATCCTTCGGACGACAGAATATAATCTAATCTAATTGGAGGGTCGTGAGAGCGGAGACGCTTCGTCCCTGGAATTTCAAGGAAGCACGCCGGAATCAAGATTCGAGCGTTCCTCGGCAGGAACGTTGGCCCGCTCTCCGGACCGTTCTCGCTTTGTCCTTCCATTCCCGCGCGATTAGTTGCATCCCCTTTCGGAAGTTTCCTCGGACTCGCACGAACAACCGACGACGGCTATTAGCCGCGCAAAGGCTCCGACAGGATGGAAACGCCGCGCGATACACGGTTGCAACCGGAGGAAACGGAATCCCTCGCCTCACGAAGACCGGCAACGACGCGCGCGCGCGCGCGCGACGGTTAACTTTGTCGAAGACATCACTCCCGCCACCCGCCGCGAATCGAAGGAATCCGCTATTAATACGCACCCCATCTATCGCAGCCGTATCGTCTAATATCGATCGAGAGCGGCGCAGCTTGTGCGGCGACCATTAAAAAAAGAATTGCAAAACGTCGCTCTCGTCGGAAATAGAACACGATTCGCCGACAAATAGAAGAGTCGGAGTTGCGAAACTCTCGGGATCGAGCTTTTCGCGAACTTCGAGACAAAGGTAACGAAAGGATGGGGAAAAAAGAAGGAGAAAAATAGAATCGCCGTGGAGGCGGTTTTTCTCCGTGAACCCTTTCGCTGCGGTAGCTCCATCCGCCGAAGTGCCGTCACCGAACGGAAAGTCGCTCCGGAAATATGCACGGTGCGCGCGGTGTTTCCGTGTATATGAGCCGTTTATTTTGAAAGTGGCATAAGTCGCTTTATATTTAAGTCGATATATTCGAAGGTTTGCGTTTTAACACGTTTAAAAATAATAATAATAATTTAATATAAATAATAACTTTCGAGAAGATTTACATGTATTTGTTATCTCAGGATACTGATATTTTTCTCAGTATAAATAATTTCGTATAAATATTAAAAAATCACATTTTAAATCACTTTCAAAATAAACGGCTCATACGTTGTCCCAAGTCTTAAATAATAACTGTGCCGAATAAAACGATCGTTGCTCCGATGTAACGAGTGTATTTACATCTTTAATTTAGAAAGACTTGCAAAATTATAGGCAACATTCGCCGAATGATTCGGCGAAGCGAAATTCTTGCCCGTCCGATCGGCGACGGAGAAACGAAGTATCTCAATCAAGTGTCTGTGATCGATTGGTTCCAGGTAACGATCGCGACAGACCTGGGGAAAGTGGTCACGCGGATGCAGTTGGAGAGATCCGAGGTCGCGTTCTTCATCTACACCAACGGCAGCACCCTCAGGTACTTAACGAATGGAATTTTCAAGTAATCTACATCTTCCTTCGGAGAATCTCGCCGCTCGGAATCTCATTAAAGCGAACGCTCGACAATAAAAGTCTTGGACGCATGGTAACACTCGACTCTTTACAATTTTCTCCTAGCAATGGTGCGATCGTTGTCACGTCGTAAAATACAGGGTGTCCCAAAAATGTCTCGCGATCCGAAAGCAGGGGATTCCTGAGGCGATTCGAAGCAACTTTTTCCTTAGCGAAAATGCGATCCGCAGCTTCGTTTACGAGTTATCAACGAAAAACAGTGGCCAATCGGAGGCGAGATCGTTTGGCGCGAGACGGCTGGGCCAATGAGCGGAACCGGGCTCCGCGCGCTCGTTGGCTGGGCCGCCGCGCGCCGGCCGAGCTCGCCTCTTATTGGTCGGTGTTTTTCGTTGATAACTCGTAAACGAAGCCTCGGAGAAAGTTTTCGCAAAGGAAAAAGTTGCTTCGAATCACCTCGGGAACCTCCCACTTCCAGATTGCGAGACATTTTCGGAACATTCTGTATATTATATATTATAAAAGCATAGGCGACATTTCGTGGATCGTATAGTATATATTTCGTAGTCGTAGATCGTCGATCTGGATCGTTCACGATCCACGTTCACGACGCTGCGTCCAGATCTCGCGGGCATCGATCCGCTCTCGTATTCCGGAACGCGACTCTTTCATTGAAATCGTAGCAGTATTGGTACCCGAGGCAGCCTCGATTAGGATCGGGCTTAGGCTTAGGGCCTTATACTCGGCCGCATTTGTTTTCATTGTCTCGGACGCAGAGCCAAAGGGTTCCTCCTAACGTTATCGTATCGTAGAATCGTTTCGATCGGCGAGTCACGTTCGTCCGGGTGCAACGTCGAGCCGGATCAAGTTCTCCTAGCTCCGAACGAGATTAAACGTAACCGACGGATCGTTCTTAGAGTTTTTTTAACTACTTTAAAATTATAAACTTTAAGATTTCTTTCCCTGGAGCATCTTTCGGCTTGCTCTAGTAGCTTACTCGCTCATCGTTCGAACCAAATAATCGTCATCATATGCATTGTTTCACACTTCTTTTGTCTTCGCATCGATTTACAACAGTCTACAGGGTGTCACAAAAATGTCTCGCAATCCGGAAATGGCGGGTTCCTCGGATCATTTGAAGCAACTTCTACCTTTACAAAAATGTTCTCCGAGGCACCGTTAACGAGTTATTAGCGAAAAACAGTGACCAATAAGAATCGAGTACGGCTGACGCGAGGCGGCCCGGCCAATCAGCGCGCGAAGCCCAGTTCCGCTCATTGGCTCGATCGCCTCGCGCCAGCCGAGCTCGCCTCTCATTGGTCACTGTTTTCCATTAATAACTCGTTAACGGTGCCTCGGAGAACATTTTTGTAAAGGAAAAAGTTGCTTCAAATGGCCCGAGGAACCCGCCACTTTCGGATGCGAGACATTTTTGGGACACCCTGTATATACAGATATAGAATATACAGTATCAGACTCTGTACCGTACATATCAGACTCTGCCGAGAAATAGCCTCTGTAGAGAAATAGCCTCGCGCAGAATTCAGCCGACGCGTTGTTGCTTTTGATCCGGTGCGAGCAAACGCGGCACCCGCTTCGTGTGCTCAAATTTTTGCGTAAAAGTGTAAACAGGCTATCTTCCGATATCTTCAAGGGATCAGCAATCTCGCGCAATTTCGCTATACGGTCTTTCAAAACTATTTCGTGGACTTTTTTCACGTTTTTCGGAACAACCGCCGATTTTGGGCGACCAGAGCGTTCGGCATCGTCGATGTTTGTACGACCGCGTTTAATTTTAGCATACCAGTCGATAATAGTTAATTTCCCTGGTGCAGAGTCTTCGTAACGCTTATCAAACCACCGTTTGGCTTCAATTAGTATTTTTCCCCATCGAAAAACAATGTTTAATCGATACACGAAATTCTTTTCTAACCGTTGTCTCGAAAATGACAAAACTGGGGTCGCTGAAACCACCGTAAACCACTGTAAACTAATCGTCAAAATGTCATGAAATTTCGACACGTATCGTTCGAATCGATGCTATTGGGTTGGCAACTAAGTAATTGTCGATTTCAGTTATAGATGTCTCTCACTCCCATTTTTATGATATCCGTAAATGTTATATTAGAAAATTATTATTATTATTATTATTATGTTATTTTTTATTATCCGTGAATGTTAGCAACTGGACAAATTGAGTGCAGCGGTCAACGAAAAGTGACCAGAATTGGTCGATCGTAAAGGTGTCATTTTCCAGCAGGACAATGCTAGGCCGCACACGTCTTTGTTCACTCGGCAAAAATTGATGGATATTGGTTGAGAATCGATGTTACACCCACCATATAGCCCTGATCTCGCGTCATCGGATTACCACTTGTTTCGATCCCTGGACAACTCCCTTCGTGGTAAAACTTTTAACGACGATGGCGCTGTAAAATCTCGCTTAACTCAGTTTTTGGCCGAAAAGGATCGGACTTTCTGCGAGCGTGGAATTTTCGAGTTGTCGGAGAGATGGCAAAAGGTCATCGAACAAAATGGAAAATACATTACAGACTAAACTTCGTTCCAAGTAAAAAAGAAATTTTTTATTTCATTGAACGAATCGGCAATTACTTAGTTGCCAACCCGATACTATCCAGAAATCGTATAGGTTTGTCGACGGTGTTGCCATACGCGTGTCAGAGACCGGAGACTCATCGAGTGACGCGTTATAATTGGTGCAATCGATCGGCGCGATAACGTTTTTGGCCCGCGAGCCGACAGGAGAAACGCGAAACGACGAGATATCGTACGCGTATATGTGGCGAGCGCGTCGCGTATCGTATCAATCGACGCAAAACGAATTAGCCATGGTCTCACGGTTTCTGTTGAAGGTCAAATCTGACGCAGAGGTTCGCCATAACCGATCAGGCGCTCCACAACATGACTACGTGGCCCCTGGTCTCGGTGCCGAGGGACGAGAGCAAGACGCAGACCTATGACGTGGTCAGCAAAGAGGCCTTTCAAGCACGCCTCGACGAGTTCAGGTAACCGATCGATCGGCGTGTATCCTGCCCGACTCGAGGCTCCAGGCTCGAGGCTCGAGCCTCGAGGTCTCTCGGACGATGTGCCGCGTGTGCCGTGTGCCGTGTGCCGTGTGCCGTGTGGTTCACGCCGTTAGTGACGTCAGATATCCCTAGTGTGCCTGACGGCGGCTCGCCTTTGATCGCCGGAAAAACTCCCCCTGTCGCCGCCCGCCCCTCCCGCCGCGCCGCTCCCTTTCCCCGCGGTTCTCTCTATCGCGATTCGCGATCGATCCACCTGTTCGTTACGTGCACACGATTTTTAGACGCGAATTGTCTCCGCGGACTCACGCCCACGGCAGCCCCGGCGATCCATCAAATTCGCCCGACCATAATCTGTCGTGGAAAAATCACGGTCTCCGGACGGAAACTCTCGCGCTCGTTTCCCTCGTCACCCGATGCGTTCGAACAATCGTTTTCCGATCGACTGGAACACGCTCGGTCTCCGATTTCGCGCGGAACTGCGTCGGTGAAAGTTCGTCGATCGAACGGAAATAAAAAAAATGATCGAGGGAATGCGTGAACGAACGTGCCACGGGTCTCGATCAGGTGTAACAAGATGGAAGGAACGAGAGGGAAAAGTGATTCGAGTAATTATTGGAACACTGTTCTTAATCGTACGGCGGTTTAACGCGCGGAGGAAAACGAAACGACGAGACCACGGTCGAAAAATAATGAAACGGAGCGGGTTAAACCGCGCGGAGTAATTGTAACGCCACCCTTTGTGCATGCAATGTCGTACGGAAAGTTACGGCGCGCCGCGGCGGTGGCCTCTATTCCCTCGAGCCTTCCGTTCCGACACTTGTTGAATTTCCATTCAGCCTCGAAGTGGAGAATTCTCCCTTTCCGCGCGCCTTTCCCACTCGATTAATGAATGCGACAGCGGAATTCTTCAAACCAGCTCTCTCTCTCTCTCTCTCTCTCTCTCTCTCTCTTTCGCTCTCCCTCGCTCGCTCGCCCCCTGTAAAAGAACGCGCACGCTAATTTTCCTGCTTTATGCGATTCTTTTAGGTCCGCGACGTCGAGATAGATTGCACGCTCCAGGGACAAGTTTTAATCCTTGCGAGAAACTTATTGGATTTGCGAGAAATATGGAAGCTCTGCCGCGGAGTTAAAGGACTTGTGAAAAGAGATCGTACGACCTTCCAAAGACTTGGGTGACCTGCGAACAAAATTTCATCCCCCGCAACAAATTTTCGAGATAATTATTGCTATTAAAATAGTCGAACCTGGACCGTCGTTTTAGAGTCTGCGACAAACGTTACGAGAGCGTCGAATAAAAAATAGTACGGCCCGGGAAAAGAATTGGGAAGCTTGGGAAAACGTTCTACGGACTAGCTGATAAATTATGGAGCCGTAGGAAAAATTGCGACAACCGGGAAAGTATTCCGGTGCCAAATATTCGGAGAAATACGAACGAATAAAGAAAACGGGTACTACAGTAATGTCTCTCTAATTGACGCTCGGGTTGTCCACGAAAATAGACAGTTTGGGAAGAGGAGAGCTCGTTTTCATAATGATTGACAATCGGTAACTATAAAAACGAGCAGCGAGGCTCGAATAATCGTACCTCGTCTTCCCAAATTGTCCATTTTCGTGAACAATCTTAGCGTCAGTTAGGGAGACATTACTGTAGCCAGCAATTCTGTTACGAGCAGAGCGTCTGTCAGTCGTTATCGTTCGCGAAACCACGGAAGATTCGGAGAAATCGACGAAATTTCGGTTCAGCGGCCACCGTTCGTCCGTTCGTTCGGCGACTCGTCTCCGCGGATTTTCCCGCGATTTCCTCGTTTTTTTCCGGCGCACCTCGTGCTGGTCGGTCCCGGGAGAACCGAGCACCGGTTACATATTTTTATAATCGATCGATACGCGCCGAGACGAATGCGACACCGCCGTCGCTATTATAAAAGCGTGTCTCGCTGCTCGAACGCGGTACGTGTCCTTTCTGCCGCGTCTTTCGGAGAGCTCTCCTCGTTAATCAGCCGCATCTCGTGGAGCCGCGGCCGCGGCGATATCGTCGAATTGACTGCCTCGCATTCACCGGCATTCGCGCGGTACCGGCTGGCCACGCACCTGTACCGGGTGACGCTTTTGAATCGCGTTGTAGCAGTTTGAATCCTCGCGAGAAACTCATTGGATTCGCGAGAAATATTCTCCCCAATCGACGCACAGATTATACAGTAATGTCTCCCTAATCGGCGCTCAGATTATACAGTAATGTCTCTCTAATCGACGCTCAACAATTTGGGAAGAGGAGATACGATTCATTTGATCCTTGCGGTTCATTTTTATAGTCACGAATTGTCAACAACTATCGCCTATTAACTATTATACGTAACTATTAATCTCATAACTATTAACCATTTTTGTGGTCGAACCGAGCGTCGATTAGAGAGACGTTACCGTACTTACAAAGGCTCGACCACTTTGACGCGATCGAAAATTACTTGGATATTAACCCTTTGCACTCGAGTGGCGACTCCGAGATGCCACTAGAAATTGCTATACTATTTTTCAAAATAATTGTAATAGTATCAGACTCGTTTATATCTAAGAGACTGTTAAAATTGCAAGTTTTGTACTTGCCAAATAGATTTTCGCATGCCTAAATTTTATGATCGCGCTTCGATTTTATAATCGTTAACAATTGGCGAGCGGAAAAACGAGCCACGAAGTACGAACAATCGTATCTCCTCTTCCCAAATTGTCCATTTTTGTGGACAATCCGAGCGTCAGTTAGGGAGACATTACCGTAATTCGTTTCGAAGGCCGGAATCTTCCGCAATTTATTGTTAAGACTTCAACGTACTGTTTCAGGCAAAAGGAAAATTCAATATATTTTCTTTTTTTAAATTTCAAAGTGGTCGGACGACCCCTTAAGAGTTGGAATTGGAAACGCGACGTTGAGAGGAGACTCCAACGCAACCGAGATTCGACGGACGAGCGACGCGACGATTAAAGACGAGCGTCGACGAAGCGATGAATTTCAGTCCGCGCGAAACGCGGAACGCTCGGGTCTCGAGATTAGAAAACCGCGAGGAAAGAAACGAACGAAGGCTGCGGGGGAACTCGGTGGCTCGAAGAGGATGACAACAGAAGTTGTCCGGAAGGGGATGATCGAACGCCGGATCGCTTAATATTTTCTCGCCGCGAGAACACGGCCGTCTCTCATTCGGTTCCCTTTAATATTAACGAAAGCGTATTCCCCTTGCCCGGTAATGATGAATAATTTTTAGAACAGAGACGCCCTCTCTCTCTCTCTCTCTCTCTCTCTCTCTCAGGTGCACGATCGAATACTTGTTGCCGGGGGTAGCGTGCTCGATAAATCGATACTCGTCGCCGATGATGGGGCGCGTTGCTGCAGACAATTCTCGAGATCCGCTCCCGTTCCCGAGAGCCGCCGGGGAAACTCTGCTCATGAATCACCGTGTCGGGACGCAATAATTAAGACTTCGAGTGGCACGACGAACTTCGCGGAGAAACACGATCGAAGGAACTGACAAAGTGTCGCCGCGAGATGCGAAAAGTGCGAGGGCAAGCCGCGGTTCGTTCGCGCGCCGATCAACGGAGCTTATTATTGCTCGCTCGTCTCGACGAACAGAGTGTATTCGAAGCGTGTAATTTCGCTTCGAGCTCTCGGGATTAGCAGATTAGCAGAAGCCGCGATTTTCGGTATTTCGAAGGTTCGGAACCCGTGGAACGGTCAACGAGAACGAAGAAAAGATGTCGACCGCTCGCGGTCGCGATCCGATCGACAGTTTCCGACGATTATTCGATCCCTGCGGTTCCATTTTTATCGTCGCGAATCGTCGGCAACTATGAAAACGAACCGCAGGCTCGAAAAATCGCCAAAAAAATCCCCAAATTGTCCATTTTTCTGCGCAATCCGAGCGCGAATTATAGGGAGACATTACTGTAATCGCACGCTTATACGGGGGAGCTAATCGTACAGGGTGTCCAAAAAGTCGCTCGCGGCCGGGAAACGAGGCGGTTTTTCGTAAAAACGAAGCCGCGGATCGAGTTTGCACCAAGGAAAAGGTTGCTTCCTCGTTTCCGAAACACTGTACATAATTCGAATTGCGAGCAACGCGCCGAGGAACTCGCGTCTTCTTCCTTCAGCCCCATTGTCTTTGTCGGCCGAGCACAACGTTGCTCGGAGACGAGGAGGAGAGGATCGTTAGCTGCTCGTTACCGGTGTTCCCGCTGACAGAAACGCGTCCCGCATGACACGCTGGCTCCCTTTTAATGGTGCGAGCAACTGGACGCGTCGCCTCGTTGCGTTCGATCGGCGGAGCATTCTCTCGACCCGGTGGAATTCGAGAAGGCTTTAAGGAATACGTCGGCTTCTTTCCGATCGAGCTCCTCGACGAGTTCGTCCAACTTTCCGGCCTACGACGATCAACTTCGATCGTAATTTATCATAGAAACGCGATGATAAATGTCTCTCGGAAATGTCGACTCAAGAACCATTGTTTCGCGTTCGAGCGGAATCTCGAGTTTTCCTGGCTGCTTGCTCAACTTCTCTTCGTGCTCGGCGTCGCGACTTCGGAAGCGTGTCCGAAGATCGATCGAGCCTCCTCCCTTGTTCCGCGTTTCGTTCAAGACCTAAACTCGATTAACTTGTGCCGCCTTTTAAGAACGATGTCGCACGATTTTTGCTTCGGTCGTTCCAACGTTGGCGCGAAGCTCCGACAAAGAAGGCGTCGGAGTCGATGCAAGCCGGCGGCTGAATCGAATTCCTTTTTGCTCCTCCGTCGATGGCGCGGATGGCGAGCTGTCGTCGGCGAGTCCTGACGAGTCCTGGCGAACGAGGACGTGTCCGTGCACGCGCCGATTTCCAGCGGAATGCCCTCGAAAAGGAATCGCGACCCTGTTTTTTCTCTCTGTCTTTGCGGCGCGGCGGCCTTCTCCTCTCTGTCGAACCACCTTTACGAGCAATGGAGTAATGGACGCGGTTGTCACACATGAGCGCGTGACCGCCCATTTGGAGCAGCGGACAATATTTTTAGACCCCTCCTGCCGACCCTCCCTCTTTCTCTCTCCGCGGCCGCCGCGCGTCTCCCCGACTAAAAGCCGGCTCGATTCAACGATTAGCCAGCTAAATTTCCTGTCTACAATCGTCCTAGCGTTCCTCCTCTCGTCGGGACCCGGATCACGATCGAATACGAAACCACCCTCGCTTCGCCTCCGATCCTCGCCGCTCCGTTCGAGGAAAGTAAACTCGCGGCACACAATAATCTTTCGAATCTCTCCGTGCACTTGGGAGTAGCGCCGTTTACTCTTTGTTACGATTCTGTGCTCGGTCGTGGTTATGTCAAGGAAATCGCGGCATTTGTCTTCGTAGAAGACGGCGACTTCTCTACTACCCCGTGACCGGTCTTCGATTTAACCCCTTGCTGCGCGATGACGTTCGGGAGACGTCACGAACGCGTCGTTTTATCTACCATTTTAGACGTTCGCGTCTCCCACGCGCGTAATTCTCGCAATATCGTACGACAAGCTCCTCGAATAATATTCTCGAATGCAGATACGGTAATGTCTCTCTAATCGACGCTCGGATTGTCCACGAAAATGGACAATTTTGGAAGAGGAGACACGATTGTTCGAGCCTTGTTGCTCGTTTTTGATGGTTATCGATTGTCAACGACTAGTAGTAGCCGTTCTCTTTATTCGCTCGTATTTCTCCGAATATTTGGCACCGGAATACTTTCCGGGTTGTCGCAATTTTTCCCACGACTCCATAATTTATCACCTAGTCCGTAGAACGTTTTCCCAAGCTTCCCAATTCTTTTCCCAGGCCGTACTATTTTTTATTCGACGCTCTCGTAACGTTTGTCGCAGACTCTAAAACGACGGTCCAAATTCTACTATTTTAATAGCAATAATTATCTCGAAAATTTGTTGCGGGGGATGAAATTTTGTTCGTAGATCTCCCAAGTCTTTGGAAGGTCGTACGATCTCTTTTCATAAGTTTTAATAGCTTCCGATTGTGAACAATTATAAAAGCGAGGTGCAAGGCTCGAACAATCGCATCTTCTCTTTTCGAGATTGTCCATTTTTGCGCGCAATCCGAGCGCGAATTGGGGAGAAATTACTGTGAAACGCGCCACGGTGTTCGTCAGAGTAATGTCTCCCTTACCGACGCTCGGATTGTCCTCTAAATTGGACAATTTGGAAAGAGGAGATACGACTGTTCGAGCTTTGCGCGGCTCGTTTTTATAATTGTGAACAATTTATAATTGTGAAAATAAACCGCGAGGCTCGAACAATCGTATCTCCTCTTCCCAAATTGTCCCTTGTTGTGCGCAATCTGGGCGTCGATTAGAGAGACGTTACTGTACTTCGGTGTCGCTCGAGCGACAAAGAGGCAGAAACGCTTTCGCGATTCGAAATTCGGAAATTCCGAAATCAGTTACGACGCGTCGACGTATCGTCGCGCAACGAAGCTATAAAGTTTCTTTCGCTTTTCCCAGAAGGAAGATAAGCTCGGAGGAGAGCAGCATCACCGAAGTGATGGCATGGTACACGAGCGTGAACGCGGCGATGCTGGATCACTTGACCAATCAAATCAAGGAAACGGACAATAGCGGAGTTTGGAGGTAAATGGCTCGGAATGTCGGCGCGCGTCGCGAAGCGAGACAATTTCAACGAAATCCGAACTGAAAAGGTAGCCAACGAAATCCGAACCGTTCCGATTTCGCGAAGAAAAAAAGGAAACATCTCGCGACGGTCTACTTGTTCGAACGAAAATTGTCGCGAGACAGCCGAGAAGCGAAGAAAGTCCGGGCGATATGACAACGCGCGCGTCTCGTTTTTTTCAGGTATTTGATAGCGTTTAAAAATTTGCTGAGAAGCATCGAGAGCCTGGGTATTGCTTCCGTGTACGGAATCAATTACTTCGGCCGTGGAATCCTTCTGGGGGAAAATTACGTCAGCTACGTACGCCACGAAGCTCTCGGACGTGATCTCCTCACCGGATCCTTCACATACGTGCCGTCCCTCAAACATTTTTACTCGGAGCTCACCAATACCATGCCGGACTACGACAGAATTAAATCCAGGTACACTTGGCGAGCGAACGCTTAAATACCAGAAACAATCGTTCGCTGCTGGCTCTCTAAGACGCAAGGTACACCGTCCGAGCTGGCAAAGGAGAGGTCCGGACCGCGTTCTTTCCTCAGCGACCTTCCTACTCGTACCTATCTCGATCGTACGTCTTCGATAAAACTACCCTAAACTTTTCTAAACGATCTCGGCTCTCGAATGGATCACAGGAATCTTTCGAGACTTATTAGAGTAGAATATCTCTATAAATTTAAAAATCTCAAATAATCCCAAAACTCACTTCTCTCTCTCTCTCTCTCCCTCTCTCTTCCCAAATTGTCCATTTTTGTTTACAAGCAAAAGAAGGAAAATTGAAGGAAAACTCGCGAGAGATTTTACTGTAACAAGCGAAGTAATTACATACGTGTACGTAGGTGCGATGTTACGTGTAGTTTAAGGTGTTAAGAGGCGGATTGGATTTTCCTATATGTTTATTTAACCGATTGCAATACTTGTTTTCTAGGCTACAGGAGCACGTGTTTACAGATTCGATACTTTGTCGGATCTAGTCCTTCTATTCTGATTCTACTTTATCGATCGAATCGTAGATTTCGAAAAGCGGTCGCTTTTGATCACATAATCGACGCGCGATCGTATTCGCGCGACCGTCTAAAGTCTAAAGAATCGTTCGCACCGCGTCAAATTTATAAACAAATTCTTCGTCGACGAGTCGAACCGAGTTCGTTTCGACTTTGGCCGCGTCGAAGTTGCGTTCGGAACGAAACTTTGCTTTTTACGGAGTCGTCGCCGCCGCGCGCGGACAGATTTTTCCAAAACGAGTGTCCTTGCCGCAGGCGAAGCGAGATCCTGAAGAATTTGAAAAGAGAGCCGAGCGTGGACGACGCGATCGCCTATTTCGACTCGATGGCGACTTACGTGGACGAGCTGCGGAAGCTTCAACGAGAGTTACGTCACATGATAAGGTGAGCTGAACAGAACAACGCCGTCGGCTAATGGGATTGGCATTTTTCGGAGCTCGCGATCTCGAGATGATCTCGTTATCCCTTCGACAGGGATTACGTGAACTCCACCCTGCAAGACGCGAGCAACAAAGAAGTCGCCGGCATAGCCATAGTCGTTCTGGTGCTGGTCGTCTCTCCTATCATCATCGTACTCGTGCGCAACGCGGTTGCCACCATACAAGTGAGTAGAAAACGATCGTTTATTCGCATCGTCGAACGTCCCAGAATCTCCGTATAGTAATGTCTCTCTAATCGACGCGCGGATTGCGCACAGAAATGGACAATTCGGGAAGAGNTTGCGTTCGGAACGAAACTTTGCTTTTTACGGAGTCGTCGCCGCCGCGCGCGGACAGATTTTTCCAAAACGAGTGTCCTTGCCGCAGGCGAAGCGAGATCCTGAAGAATTTGAAAAGAGAGCCGAGCGTGGACGACGCGATCGCCTATTTCGACTCGATGGCGACTTACGTGGACGAGCTGCGGAAGCTTCAACGAGAGTTACGTCACATGATAAGGTGAGCTGAACAGAACAACGCCGTCGGCTAATGGGATTGGCATTTTTCGGAGCTCGCGATCTCGAGATGATCTCGTTATCCCTTCGACAGGGATTACGTGAACTCCACCCTGCAAGACGCGAGCAACAAAGAAGTCGCCGGCATAGCCATAGTCGTTCTGGTGCTGGTCGTCTCTCCTATCATCATCGTACTCGTGCGCAACGCGGTTGCCACCATACAAGTGAGTAGAAAACGATCGTTTATTCGCATCGTCGAACGTCCCAGAATCTCCGTATAGTAATGTCTCTCTAATCGACGCGCGGATTGCGCACAGAAATGGACAATTCGGGAAGAGGAGATACGATTATTCGAGCCTTGCGGTTTATTTTTATAGTCATAAATCGTCCACAATTATAAAAACGAGCCGCGAGGCTCGAATAATCCTCTTCCCAAATTATCCAATTTATTTATTTAGTTTATATATATAAATTAAATAAATAAATTCTATTATATAGAATTATATATTATATAATAATATATAAAATAATAATAGGCTATATATTATATAATAAATTCTATTATATATATATTTTTTATTTATTTAATTTATATATTATCCAATGGACAATCTGAGCGTCAGTTAGGGAGACATTACCGTGTTCCATCCTCCTCGACTCGTCGTATTCCAATTCCACTCGCTTCCTCGCCGGCGTGAAACCGCGGATGATTCTCGAACAAGGATAAATTAACGAGCGCCGCGTAATGGGCTTTCCATTGTTTCCGAAAAAATTCAGCAAACGATTTGGTCGCGCTTCACACTGCAGCGTCGTTTGCCGAGGGCCGAAGACAAACACGAAGAGCGCACGGTGCCGCTACCGTTGCGTAGGATTAAAGCAGGATTAGCCTCGTAAATTGCGGCCCTTCGGTGCTCGAAAGAGCCTTTTATCTGTCGCCCCACTGTTTTTACGAGAGTCGCTATATTTGTTCCGTCGACGGGGTCGTCGTCCTGAAAACCGTTAACGTCGTCTCGGATCGATCGTTGGAAGCGGGGGGAGGGTGGCAGCGAGGGGGCTCAAACGGCCGCAACGGATGAAACGTACCAAACGGCGATCTTCTCCGCAGATGTACGCGGCGAATTTGGCGCAAAAGGCGCGCGAACTGAAGCAGGAGAAGGAGAAGAGCGACACGTTGCTCTTTCAGATGCTGCCTCCCAGCGTCGCCCAACAGCTGAAGCATACGCAACAGGTATCCCACCCCCTGTTAGAACGTTCCTCGATGCTCGTATACATACCATATACCTGTTCCACGATCTGTAAACGTTTGCTTTACCGTCCGACAAAAAGGTGCCAGCCGAGTACTACGAGGCGGTGACCGTGTACTTCAGCGACATCGTTGGCTTCACTGAAATCGCTGCCGAGAACACGCCGCTCGAGGTATGTCCTATCCCCTCCGGGGAAACGCGGAGGAAATGCGGGGGGGGGGGGAGGGGACTCGCCTAAAAAAGAAAATGAATTAACGTCGAAGTAGCTCTGCCGAATTCTTGAAGTATTCGTCCATCGTTTGTCACGATTTTCTCAAATATTTTTACACCCTGTCAGACTCCTCGTTTCGTTGAAAACAGCTGCTACCTGCTTGTTACCTTAACGTCAACGTTGAGGTTATTCGTTGCTTTCAGGTTGTCACGTTCCTGAATTCGATCTACAAGCTGTTCGATGCCCGCATCGAGTGCTACGACGTGTACAAAGTTGAAACCATCGGCGACTCCTATATGGTTGCATCCGGTTTGCCGGTCAGAAATGGTGAGAGAAAGGAAGTTGGTTCGTCCGAAAGAGGACTCGTGACCAACGCGGTAACAGACGAAGACGCGGTATAATTACGTAGAATGCGCGCGGAAACAAGCGATTCTCGCGGTTCCGGTCGCGTCGTAAGTCGCGGTGCAAATATCGACGTGAATCGTCCGCTCCGGAAAATGAAAATTTGCCGGCGATTGGGTAGTGGCGCTGCCGCGGCAAGATCCGGAAGCTCGGTTAAGGGGTCCGCGCAGCGCCAATCAGTGTCGCGGTGAAACGCTGAAACTGCTTGCGACGACCGTCGCTAGATGGCGCTCTACTTTCGCTTCTTAATTATGGCGGATACCAGAAGTAGACCAGTCCTTTGACAATCGTTGAAATCTAATTACCTTTACAAGCAGAGTAAGAATAGAAACGCGATGGAACATTTTAGTTAAACAGGCTCTTGAAGTTCGCACTAATTAGTCGCGTCGTTGGTACGAAAATCTAATTGCCGATAGCTCTGTACCTTGTCGTTCGGCATCGTGGATGCCGAAATGGACACTACCGAACGTTCATTAGCTAATAAATACTTCATTTCAAACTACACGGGTCGAAAATTGTTACTGCAATATCGTCGAGGATCTATACCGCTTTCTTCGATCGCCAAAAGTATCTTATATCACGGGTGTGCAGACATGTCAACAATTGTCCATAGCTAAAAAATAATTCGATATCGACTGTTCGATCGCGAAAGCGCATCAACCATGCCTGCGAAGTTGGGCCGTTAGAATATTAAAAATCTGCAAACAGCGCGTCGCTGACATTGGTCGAACGCTCGATATTTGATACGAAATATTTTTAGAGGGAATGCGTAGACTTTGGAATCGCAACTTACTCGCGCGTTTCTTCGCAGGCGACAAACACGTTTCCGAGATAGCGACGATGGCGCTGGACCTTTTGGCGGCGTCGTCGGTGTTCCAAGTACCGAAGAGGCCGCGCGAGCGGCTTCAGATACGAAGCGGAGCGCACACGGGACCGGTCGTGGCTGGAATCGTCGGCAGCAAAATGCCTCGTTACTGTTTGTTCGGAGACACGGTGAACACCGCGAGTCGTATGGAGTCCACCGGAGAAGGTAGCAACGTTTCTTCTACATATTATTGATCCCTCGGGAACCGTTTTCGTTACTCGAATTGTCTTCGCTCGTAGCTTTGCGAATACACATTAGCCTGGAGATGAAGAAAGCTCTGGACGCTGTAGGAGGATTCAAGATAGAACATCGCGGTTTGGTAGACGTGAAGGTAGAACACGTGCGAGCCCCTGGCGAAAAGCATCGATCCGAACCTCTATACACCGTTGATTCGTGCCGACGAATGTTGCATACCATTCGAACAAAAGCAATTTCAACTAAAACATTTAAGCTATTCGCGATTCCGCGAACGTCTCGGCCGAATGCTTTTCGCCGATGGGAGGAAGAGCGGCAGCTTCCAGGTCCGACACACCGGTCATGGATCGCTAATCGCTGTATTTTTTAGGGGAAAGGACTGATGGACACGTACTGGCTGGAATGCAAGGACGGCGGAATCGCGCGCGCAGCGGAGTTGGATCTGCCGTCGTTCTTCGAGGACGTGCGACCGATTTTCATACGCCGTTTGCGGGAGGGGGGAACCGTCTGATGCGAGCCTTACTGCCGTCGGGACCTATGGTACCTGAACCGGCCGCGCACACCCTACATCCGTCTCTCGCAACCGAACCTGAACGACACGCTGAAGAAGCCGAGCCAGGGTCGCAAGAATCGGCTGTCGCACCCGAACCTGCACATCACGCCGGTGAAGCCGCCGCCGCCGCAGTCGCAGTCGAGCATCGAGTCCCAGGACACGGCGACCTTCGAGGGCACCTACTCGACGACCCCGTGTCCGCCGAGCTACTCGCCGGCCAGCCAGCGTAGCCGGTACTCGCAGCCGAACTTGCCGACATTGTTGATATCGTACGACCGAAGATCCGGCGGCGGATCGCCGGACCGTCGGATCCGGATGTCTCAGCCGACCCTGAACTCGAGCTTCAGCGGCATCAACTTCGCCGGAATGAACCGTGGCACCAGGCTGTCGTACACCAGCCTGCGGGCGGCGTCCGGCGACAACAGCATCACCGAGGGCGAGAGGCTGTCGGCGAAGAGCGTGCCAGGGTTCGGGGGTAGCTCGAGGGGCAGCCTGACCCTGGACCACACCACCTCGAGGCTCTCGCAGCCGGACGTGCGGCGGTTCATGCTGCGACACGAGATCGCCACTGGGAAGCGGGAACGATTGTCCCAGCCGACCCTGGTCACCGGCGACTACCACCCCGGTCGCGGCCAGCAAAGGCTCTCTCATCCCTGCCTGATCACGGAGAGGGAGACCAATCTGCCCACGATGGTGTGCCAATCTCCGTCCCCGCCGCCCAACAAGCACAAAAGGTTCTCCCTGGCGGTGCACACCAGCCAGAGGGACCGGCTGTCGCAGCTGGACTTCGGCGCCAAGTACAGGAACCTGAAGGAGACGTCCGCGAGCAAGTTCAACCGGGATCGGTTCTCGATACCGGAGCTGCAGACGCAGAACGATCTCAGGCTGATCGCCGGCACGCCGAAGCAACGGTTCAGCCTGGACAGCCAGCTGACGCGGAACCAGGAGGTGATCAGGTCGAAGCTGTTGCCGATCGCCAGCTCGCCGATCAGCGAGCACCAGCAGTCGAAGATCGAGGAGCACGCGGGACAGGCAGGAACGGAGGGGGGACCCGTCGGCCTGACGGCTCCCGCGGGGCCCGCGACCAGGCTCAAGAGCCCGACGAGGGAGGGTCTCGAGCGGGTGCTTCTTGCCAGCGCCACGCCGATACTGCCGGCCTCCGAGAGGCAGCTCCTGTCGACGGAGCTGTTGCTCGGCAAGAAGAACAAGTTCGCGTCGCCGACCGGACAGCAGAAGAACAACAAGTTCTCGCAGGTGCCGCCGATTCCCACCCGCGACCGCATGTCGGTGCCCGAGATCAGGAACTCGAGTCTGAGGCGATTGCTGGACCCGCCGGCAAGGCAGCGGCACAGCATCACCGGCAGCCTCAGGCAGAGCATGATCTTCTCGCCGATCAAGCCGCTCGACTTCGGCCGTAAGTCGCCGAAGCAGCTGTTCGAGGAGGCGCTCGAGCGGTTTAAAAGGGACGAGAAGGAGGAGAACCGGAAGAACGTGATGTCGAACTCGCAGACGGTCGTGGACATCGTCGACGAGCCGATCTTGCACGTGCAGAAGCACTACGCGTACACGTACGAGACCGCGGACGAGGGCTCGAACACGCTGCTCGGGAAGATCAGCATGTCCGCGATACCGAAGAAGAAGTATCTGGAGAGCAACTTCGACGAGAACGAGCAGGTGATCACGACCGTGATCGAGACCGACGTGCCGATGATCACCGCCAGCCCGAAGTACGCGAAGAAGGCGTCCTACTCGTCCGACACGCCGAAGTGGATCAAGAAATACCTGGAGAACGAGAGCCCCAAGGGCGGCAGAAAGGCGACGATCAATAGGGAGAGGACCAGCAGGAAGAACAGTCGGAGAAAGAGCTCCCTGGAGTCCGTGATAGACGACAAGACGGAGAAGAGCCGCTCCAAATCGCTTTGCCCCGGCGACAGAACTCCCATGCTCAGAAACACGATCGTACAAGCCGACCCGAAGAACATGAAGAACACCTACGTGAGAATCCTGCCGTCGGACAACGCTGTGAACGAGAACAGGTACGAGGTCAAGGTGGAGAACAACAATTGGAACGACGCGGACGTTCGCGGTTTGTACGACGAGGAATGCGACGACGCCGACGCAGACGCCGATTCCGACGACTCCACGTCCATATAGATTGAATATCGATCCGACCGTATCACAGCGAACGCCGAAGTGGATCAAAAGAGACGCACAGGGAAAACGAATTTCAGAATTTCTATTTCAAATCCGCCCGCGAATTGGCGCAGCTACCAAAACCAGAGAAAATCGTCGTGTTCTGTACTTAAACGGCCGCTCGGCCGTCACGGATTTCTCTCGTACGTGATCGACAGTCTCGTTCCGAACGATTATCATAGGACCACAGGACCACGCACGGGCCACATATAATAAAACACAGTTCGATTAGCCTAAAGCGCACACCTCGACAGCGATAGAACCAAGATCCATGAGAGCCAGATCGAATTATTTTCTCATATTGTTGTACATATACACCGTGAAACGTACGATCGACGCATGGAAATAAAGGAGACGGAGGAAAAATATCTACATATATATATGTATACGTATAAAGTGCCAGTCGCAAAAGTTTGCCTCCCGCCGGATGAGTTTCAAGCATTTGAAAAAAGAGCGCCGAAACTTTGCATGTATTGTGAAAGTTGATTAGTTCGGATCCGAACGTATTCGACGCGAATTAAGATGTGTTTCATACGATTGTTCATCCGAAAGTATAAAGAAGTCGTTCTAAACGAAATGTTGCCGGAGGACCGTTACCATTCCCGTGTCGCATTCGACCTTATCGATTAAGGTCGCGGCGTAGCATTATCGGTGACAGGTATAGCTATCGAAAGCAATGAACGACGACTAAGTCGGTAAAAATCATCTCGTATATATATCGATTGTGTCTAACGAACTAATGTACACGGACGATATTGCAAAGTTGCGAATTGTCCAATTTGCTCTTTCATTCGGAATTATATTTGAAATTCGACAGGTTCGTGCACACTTCATCGACTGACTGTACAATGTTCTCGATCTCAATGTACATATTTATGTTCATTCGAGTCGAACCAAACAGCGTTGTTTTTATTGACGTACAGATAAGATATGTCGTGTAAATACTCGCTTTATATATTCGGTTGCACTCGCACCGTTAAATATAACGCGTAAGTCCACAAGCTTGGGACAAGCTCGGATGCGGAAACCGCAACGTTTCACTATTACGTTCCAAATACGTACCGGACCGCCACGCGAACGAACAGGAGCCAAAACGAGGATGTACCGATCGTTGATTCGCCACGATATTATCGCTAGTACGTGTGTTAACAAATTTTCTAATTTTTCTTTTCTTTCGATACTAGTCATCGATGATATTTAAATGCGGGTATCGTTTGGAAATCACTACTTAACGATAACTGCACGAAATCAGCACAGCAAACTTACAATCAGCATCAAAAGATAATTGTAAGCATTTGTGAAAACAATCTCTTGATCGAGCTGAATCAACTGTAATTAGCACGTTCAGTATTTTTCAAACAATAACACAATTTACCGTGTTATTTATATTTGGACTTTACAGTAAAAGTGTTTGAAATTCAAACAAGCGCGGAATTTCTTAATCGTGAAGTATCACCTAGCGTGGTGATAGAACGTTTTAAACAAAAGTTGCACGATATCAAGGGAAGCATTATCAGGCGATAAATAGCTTTTTTTACTATTCTGCATTTTTATACAGATATATATATATATATATATATATATATATATATATATAATTGACATTGAATGAATTTTTTTACGAAATTTATTGGATTATCTTTCATAAAATATCATCATCAAAAGATCGCACAGTCGATTAAATACTCGGTGTCGTAATTTTGATCATCCTGGATACAAGAAACAAAGAAAGAAAGGAAACTTTGTGTTCCCATAAAATTATACTCTCAAAGACTTGCTTCTCGCATGATTATTAATTATTGTATAATGATATACACATATACTTGAACGTTATGATGTTACAACAGCAGGATACAGTCATCGCAACATTGTATGTTGTAATGTCGTGAAACGGTGGTATGAATGTATTATTGTGGATAAGAGTGTGAATCTTAGTTACTGTTCAATATTAGCGTACAAAAATGTTAGTTCTTTATGTATGTCATTTAATATACGGTAAAAGAAAGTTATATATATATTAAAATGTAATCGACACGAGAAGTATATAAAGTGTATTTAATTTTTAAGAAGCACGGGTTGTTTGTACACTGCTGGTCTCTTACGATTAATTTATCGGTTGAAGAAACAAAATACAAAAAAAATAGTACCCCGCGTATCAGTTTTTCCCTCGCGGTAGAAAAAGAAAGTAATGATGAAAGAAGCAACGATGATCGAGACACATGTCCTTCGTGTATTTCGTTATGTCACAATTGTTTGATTGTATTTTGATTTTATTCGCACTGTTCTCTTACCGATGAAAATTATTTGTATAATTCAATCTAGCCACGTTACAATTACGACGTTATCATAATTTGTACCCATTGGAAAGATCCGATTAGCTAACACGATTACGAGAAAATTGTAGTTACAAAACATGACACAGCATCAAGTATCAACTTTGTTGCGAAGACGATGCTCCCTCAGACATGGCATAGAACAGAAACGATTGTAATTGTACTCGAAAGGCACCTGACCAGCCATATTCACTGCACACTGAAAGCATCGTGAAATCATTGTACAGCCTTGCTTCAGAATCCGTTGCTCGGCGGACAAAGCTCTCTGTAATATACATAAGTATATAAAATTTGTACTAATACACAGGTTCATCGATTTGTTTCGTTTACGAGACACTAACTTTCTCTCTATCGCTAAGACTGAGGAATCTCTGTTTCGTGTCTTCCTCTTGCTTCTTCAGCTCGAACTCTTTCCTTTTCGCTCTTTCTTTTTCCCGTTTCACCTTCCTCTGTTGCCTTTTCCTTTCCAATTCTTCTTGCTCTATTTCATCGGTAAGTGGCCCGGGTATTTGAGACTACACGATCCGTAAACACATTATTTTCATCGATAATCTTGACGAAGTTTATTCTAGAGAAAGTGCTAAATACCTTAGAATAATTGTATTTATCAGGATTGGCACCCATGAATCTTCTAAATGTATTTCTAGTTTCCTTGTCGCCCGCAGCTGCGTACGGGGTCTGTAATTTCTTATTCTTGTTACACGGATCCGATCCGATCTCCAGTAATTGCCTAAAATCATATATCTGTGGAACGTTATTTCAAAAAAAGAAATACCAATAAAAGCTCGAGTTACCAGACTNTTTTAAAAAAAAAAATATATATATATATATATATATATATATATATATATATATATATAATTGACATTGTATGAATTTTTTTACGAAATTTATTGGATTATCTTTCATAAAATATCATCATCAAAAGATCGCACAGTCGATTAAATACTCGGTGTCGTAATTTTGATCATCCTGGATACAAGAAACAAAGAAAGAAAGGAAACTTTGTGTTCCCATAAAATTATACTCTCAAAGACTTGCTTCTCGCATGATTATTAATTATTGTATAATGATATACACATATACTTGAACGTTATGATGTTACAACAGCAGGATACAGTCATCGCAACATTGTATGTTGTAATGTCGTGAAACGGTGGTATGAATGTATTATTGTGGATAAGAGTGTGAATCTTAGTTACTGTTCAATATTAGCGTACAAAAATGTTAGTTCTTTATGTATGTCATTTAATATACGGTAAAAGAAAGTTATATATATATTAAAATGTAATCGACACGAGAAGTATATAAAGTGTATTTAATTTTTAAGAAGCACGGGTTGTTTGTACACTGCTGGTCTCTTACGATTAATTTATCGGTTGAAGAAACAAAATACAAAAAAAATAGTACCCCGCGTATCAGTTTTTCCCTCGCGGTAGAAAAAGAAAGTAATGATGAAAGAAGCAACGATGATCGAGACACATGTCCTTCGTGTATTTCGTTATGTCACAATTGTTTGATTGTATTTTGATTTTATTCGCACTGTTCTCTTACCGATGAAAATTATTTGTATAATTCAATCTAGCCACGTTACAATTACGACGTTATCATAATTTGTACCCATTGGAAAGATCCGATTAGCTAACACGATTACGAGAAAATTGTAGTTACAAAACATGACACAGCATCAAGTATCAACTTTGTTGCGAAGACGATGCTCCCTCAGACATGGCATAGAACAGAAACGATTGTAATTGTACTCGAAAGGCACCTGACCAGCCATATTCACTGCACACTGAAAGCATCGTGAAATCATTGTACAGCCTTGCTTCAGAATCCGTTGCTCGGCGGACAAAGCTCTCTGTAATATACATAAGTATATAAAATTTGTACTAATACACAGGTTCATCGATTTGTTTCGTTTACGAGACACTAACTTTCTCTCTATCGCTAAGACTGAGGAATCTCTGTTTCGTGTCTTCCTCTTGCTTCTTCAGCTCGAACTCTTTCCTTTTCGCTCTTTCTTTTTCCCGTTTCACCTTCCTCTGTTGCCTTTTCCTTTCCAATTCTTCTTGCTCTATTTCATCGGTAAGTGGCCCGGGTATTTGAGACTACACGATCCGTAAACACATTATTTTCATCGATAATCTTGACGAAGTTTATTCTAGAGAAAGTGCTAAATACCTTAGAATAATTGTATTTATCAGGATTGGCACCCATGAATCTTCTAAATGTATTTCTAGTTTCCTTGTCGCCCGCAGCTGCGTACGGGGTCTGTAATTTCTTATTCTTGTTACACGGATCCGATCCGATCTCCAGTAATTGCCTAAAATCATATATCTGTGGAACGTTATTTCAAAAAAAGAAATACCAATAAAAGCTCGAGTTACCAGACTAATTTTAAATGTCCGCCGGATGCCGCCAAGTGCAACATCGTATTGCCGTCTTCGTTCGAATCATTTACAAGTTTTGTTACGTCCTCCATGTTTACAATAGTATTGTCTTCAATGATTCCTACTTCTTTATTCTGTTCCTCTGCCTCCACACTTTTCTCCATCTCCGTCAACAATCCGTCGATAACAGTAGACAACAGTTCAATGTCGCCCAATTTGCACGCCGACCACAGTTTCAGTTTTGCACTAACCAGAACCTCGTTCATGCTGTTATCTAAATAGGATTCGTTAGAAAATTAGAATTGGTCTGGATCATTGGAGTCGATAGACAATCGCTTGACAATGTACCATCTTTTTTCGATTTCTTTCTCTGACGACGCGACTTCTTATTTTTCATGTATCTTGGCACGGTGTCTTGGAACGCGAGCAAATGCTCACGGAAGTCTACTTCTAATTCCTGTTCGACTAGCATAACGTCCATTGGGATGTTAGCATTACCTAATTGGCCGTCTAACTCCGATTCGGAAGACGACTGTGCTAATTTGGCGACAATGTCTCAAAAGGGAAATAATTCAATAATTATTCTGCTCTAAACTTTATAAATCCCGAATTTGTCCTAGAATTTTACCTGGCAAGGGTCGGCACGGGCTTTTTCTTGGCTTTGCTCTATCTATATGCGAACGTGAATTTCTCGGTTGCCTTTCCGGCGACAATTGTGCGGTAGTCTTATTTTTATCATAATCTTGGAGACTGTAATAATTATTAGCAGCACTGGAATCGCACTCCATGTTTTCTGTACTTTCGGGTGCTTCAACGAGAACATCGATCTTTGGAACCTTTTTCCTAAGAGGCTGGCGCGGTGAGATGGGAAAGGAATCCGTAAAGTCAGCCGCGGACCCTGAATAGACATAATAATGATCGAAACGCAAAGTTGTCGGACAGCGTAATCGGTGTATTAAAATCTTGGAACTTCGGTGAATCGCATACCATAAATCTCCATAGTGCTCAGTATATCATAAACTCTCTTAACTTCGCTAAACGTGGCTCTGCGAGTAGGAAATGGCAATGGTCTTAGCCTTGAATCATTCTTATCTAGAGGTGGATTCTTTCCCCCGAATAATACAGTGCGATTGTAGGGTCCAACCGCTCTGTAGAGAATCAGGGAGGAACTGGTAATATGCGACGACCATGATTCAAGAATGTCTTGCACATGCTGAAACATGAGAATATCCTCAGACACTCGCATAAACTCGCTCGTGATCAGATCGATAAGAAAAAGGCACCTGGAGGAGAGCCGCTTCGTTGTATCGACGTAAGCTAGCTCCAGCACTCTTTTGATGATTAGTCGTTGTACGCGAACTCTGGGCAAATCCTTGCTTTGCTCGCACAGTGTAGGAATGAAATGTTTTGTGGACTACAGGTTCTCCATCTGAAAAGTAAACAAGTCCATCGGTACAATCGAACGATTTGATATTTTGCGATATGCTCGCGTTCCTACCATGGAACACAGCCGCGGCGAAATGTCCTCCACCAATCATGATAACAGTCCATATTGTCTTTCTTCCACTGTCTAATGCTTGAGCTATCATCTCATTGTCTACCTCAGGAATTTCCTAAAATGTAATTGCATCTCTCCTGATCTGGTAAGTACAGACACGCCAAGTGATTCTAACAAAGTAGATTATATCACAATGTAAAATGATAGACAGGTATGTCTGTGCTTATAGAAAATCGTTCGCAAAACCATATGTCTGAAGCAATACAAACAAACGGACCTTCTTATGGTGTAGCAAACACCTGTATATACTAAATATATTCCCATCGTCATTCTCAAAAAAGACTTTAGAATGACGACTTGCGGTGGCCAATAAAGCTTCGATTTTTTTCTCTTTTATTGTATCATCGCAACATTCTGTATCAGAACTATCAGAAATTGATTCTACACCCTTTCCTTTCTTCTCAACTTTCTTAGTCTTGCCAACATTGTTTTTGCTCTCACAGTTTCCGTTAACAGAACTTCCTGCCTCAGAAATATAGATGTCATCTTCGTTCTCAGTTTCTATATCACTCCCAGACAGACTTGAAACATCGCCTGTAATATGGACACGACTGCGTATGTAGCTTTTAAGATTTTTATCTATCTATTCTCATATATAAGAAATGCTTAATAATAATAATACCTTCATCAGCTAATAGACCAAATTTTTCTTCATTAATCGGTTTCAGTCCGTTCAAACGCTGCTTTAAATTATATCTATGCCAATCTAATTTGTAGTGAGATCTCTGCTGTGCTTTATCTTCGAATACGGTATTACAGAACGAACAACTCAATGAATCCGATACGACTAGATCATCGAGTTGATTCAACACTTTCTCGCATTCTGAAACTGAAGTAATAAAATCATTTCCGACACGTAGCTGTCACTGCCACATTCTTATATACCGTGCGAAGAATTATTCTAAATCAATATTGCCTAAAATACCTGAATTCGATAAGACAAATGGTCTTAATCTTAAAGATATGGATATTCGTTATACTCGAATTTGAAGATAATCGGATCTACTCGAATGACGTAATTACACTGCGACTAAATGAAAGTTTTCATTGACAAATCTGTCGCCATAAAAAATATGAGCATGTTAGCGCTCAGAGCAGCGGAAATGCACAAACACGGATTAACGCGAGACAACACGCGAGTGAAATAGATTGCCAGATGAATTACCGGATGACGATCGTGATTGCATGCATTGTGCAACTTTGATACCCTTTGTGATTCTGTTAAAGTCTTCCTGATTGTATATTTTAAACATCTGATGATCCATCGTTCGTAACGTGTTTGAAAGTATTCGGTTGAAGACGATGTTTCAATGATATCCTGCAAAGAAAAGAACCCTATTCATTGTCCGACGAAGCAAAGAAACGGTGCGAGAAATGTATTGAATCAAATATGGAAAATTAACAGAGACATCATATACTTACCAAAGAACGGAACGGTAGCACTACAACGATCTATGTACTAACTTTTCTGCGTGAACCCAAGAAAGACGGTTTGTGATATGTATGTAATTACAATGTTCAATGTACATACATATGCATGTACGTATATGTCAGGAACGACATGTGACTTTAATGCCCGCACCAAGTTATCGAAAACTTAGATACATACATACGCTAGCCTTGAAATAAAAAGATAGCTTTATTTCAATCCAAGAACACTTCTATTTTGTTGAATAACCTATATATTTCACTAAAATGCATTAGTATCGTAATGAAAATTGACATAATCGAAGATCGCTGTTTGACACATTTTCGTTCAACTTGGTTCGGCCCTGTCGAAGAATTACATCATTCGACATTATTGCCTTTTCCACGAACATTGGATCGGCGGTTTATTTAAACGGGAAAGGCTAATCGTTTTAGAGAATATTGTCGAATGATAGTCTGAAAGGTTGTAAAAAATTAAAAATACATTCCATACGAACTTTATCTTCAATTTATTAACATTTCGATTGAAAAGATACTTCGTTTCGTTCGAATACGAACTATACTTAAAGAATAAATAATCATAACAAATTTTTACAAAATCTTCTAGTTCGTTGACATTGAGGCTCTTAAGGTACGATATTACAATTCTGTTGATCCGTTTACAAAAATATTGTTTCTATGTCAACAGTTTCTAGAGAGATTCAAGCACATGTTGTACAATAACTTAACACCAGAAGGTACTATGTATAATACTATTATGTTTAGCTATCCAGAGCTCCTTTCGATTTTTTAATAAATAGAAAATGTAAAGACATTTAGTCAGTCTTACATGTTAAGGACGTTAAATATCGCAAAGAAAGAATTCACCGAACGTAGCAAAATTATTTTGTACATTATAAGATTACGAATTGTATATATGTATAATATAATATTGCATTTGCTTTTTGTTAATACTTTCTTTCACTAGATATTTCGTTGTTCTTATAGTAATTTAAATTAACCATGAAATAATTATTTGTAAACTTTAAGATACACGTCTGAGAAAACTATTTCTTCCGCTCGAACATATCATCTTGCTGCATACGAATAAACTATTTCCCCAAACAGTTTTCGTTCTTCTATGAAATATGCTTAAATTTAACATAATATAAACTATTCACACGATACTACTATAAAGTTAAAGGCACATGTAGATAAAAATTAGAATTCCGTTCAATAAGCCAAACAAGTAGTTCATTTGTACTCCAGATGATTCCTTCGAAAATCTGAAACAGATAAAAATGTGTTAATAGGCTATAAATAATCTATGTAAAATTGATTCACAATTTGTAATAATAAACAATCATGGGTATCGTCGTTGCCAACAACTTACCTTTGCTTAGAAGGACTAAAAGGAGAAGGTGGATTGATCCCAGGAATACTGCTATCGTGGTAAATGATAAACCAGGTAAAACCCATCATTATGAGACCACTTATCGCTGCTTTTATTAACCATCCATACGTCTTAAAGAATAATATTGTTAGATTTACAATATCATCGTATTAACCGATGTTAACGAATTTTTCACTCACAGCTGTTAGATGTTTTGTATTGAACTTTGACACATCTGGCATGCGTGAAACATTAAATATATTGGAGATGTTTGGAAACACAGTTGTCGACAATATTATGGGCTTAGAATTACTTTCTGGCTGCAAAATATTTCCTAAAGAGATCATATTACAATATCAGAACTCTTGATCGTTTTTTTGTTATCACATAATTTTGCGAGAAGCCAATTTGTGCCTTGCGAGTATAAAATAGAATAGCAGCAGGAAGCTAATTTTTAATACGAAAACAAACAAGATAAAAATAACTCTGAAATTCCACAAAGCGAAAGCGAAGAATTTTTCTTTCGTAAATTCGGTCGCGGACAATACGAACTATAGTCGATATTATAGTACGTAAAAATTTTGCTCGTAAGTTCGAAGCCTGTCAATACGAAGATATTGGAAAAGATAAGAACGTATTTTACATGCGTTATTAAACGTAGATAAATGTTACGCAAGGAGAGTAAACAAACACACCAATTTCACATGACAGGTTGTTAATGGGAGAAAATAAGAAGAATTATAAAAAGTATTGGTTTTTCATTTACCGTAATTCATATACAATTTTCCTAGAACGATGGTTAACGACATTACAAAAAGGAAGAGGCTAAATGTCCACTCGTTTATTTCCAGTTTATCCCATAACCTCACTGGAGCGGCATAATTATTCCTTCTTTCTATGACGTTTTTACCGTTCAAGTGTAAATCCGATTTCTTCTCGGCCATCATCACGGCTTCCAGTTATGGAAAATCGATGTGCAATTCTACCGGTTGCGCGAATGACTGAATCGCAAACGATACGAATCACCAAAAATAACAGTGAATAATAACATAACACGCATAGTATATGTGTGTATATTGACTGTATATACATACATATACAGATATGTATGAGTCAACAACATAGCATCTACGCATGCGCTTTGAAAGGATTCCCCTTCTCGGAACTGTTATATATGTATAGTCATGCCTCACCATAGCAGTTTTATCCCCACCATTTTATTGTGCATCCAGGTTCGCGCAGTTGCGATAAAAAATTCCGTAGATTCGTAAACAAAAAACTATTAGTTACGAATGTAACTAACGGGTTTTCAAAAATTTCAATAATTGTGATATACTTAATAAATAATTCTTAACTCTAATTCTATAAAACTCTGAGTCTGAGAATTTTAGGTAATTACTACATTAAATATGTAGACTTTCTAAGAGCATATGGATGCAAGTTTCAGCTTCGTTTTTCACATTTTTTAACAGTAAAAATCGTATAAAATTGCGAAATTTTTTGTTGCTTTCAAAACTGCTTTTCGTACAGTAGAATATTGATTGCTGATCGTTTCAGTTAAAAAGTACTGGAATGGCTGAATTAACAAAATTTTGTTGATTCATAAAGTAGAAAGCATTAGCTAAAATGTAGCTTACGGGTTTTTGAAAATTTTAATCATTGTAGAAATGATCGTCGTTTCAAGACGTTCGCAAATACGCTGGACCGTGATCGAGGATCCTATGGGGCGAAAAATGCAAGTCGAATATCGCGCCACGAGTTTCAGATGGAGCATCAAGCACATGGATGCGCGCGAAAAGAGAGAACATAAGCTCGATGAAACGAAATGGCCTAGGTTTAATTGTGATTTAGTATTTTTTAGTACGTATGTACTTAGTAGCAAATGAAAGGAAATTAATCTGTATAATAAAATTTTAATGAATCTATAGGATAGTTACAACAAGTTTTATCGGACAGTGTAACAAGTGTTTTAACTTTTGTGTAAAGTTTCCTAACTTGCTGAAAGTACATATCGTATTCATCGTTATTCTTTGGCTACATTAAACCATCAGACTACGTACAAATAGACAAAAATGGCGGGAGTAAAATCACATCGCGACGCGCGAACATAAGATTTATCAAATGTTGAGTTTGAAACCGGTGAAGATGTGCAGGTCATTCCTACATTTGATACTATGGGGCTCAGAGATGAATTATTACGAGGAATCTATGCCTACGGTATCGTAATAATTCTATATTTTTGTGTAGCATAAACATAACCTAGTTATGTAAAGTAAACATAACCTATTTGTCTAGTTTCTGTTTGATTACTTTAATTTACACGCATACGAAAACGTCATCGATAGTCACTATTAGTCTCATTTCGTTAATATGATTCTCATTTATTCGTAGTTTCTACAAACACAGTATTCGTATTACAGGTTTCGAGAAACCTTCTGCTATTCAGCAAAGGTCCATCAAACTCATAATGAAAGGGCGAGACGTAATTGCACAAGACCAATCTGGTACAGGAAAGACAGCAACATTCTTGATTGCTACACTGGAATCTTTAGATACACAAGTTAGAGAAACACAAGTCTTGGTTCTTTTTCTCCTACGAGAGAATTGGCAACACAAATACAAAAGATTATTCTCTTATTGTCTGTGTATCATACAAATCACATAATGTATCAATTTCCGTTCTTCTTTTTCTATAGCAACAAAGTACTGCTTTATTCCTTCCAATGTCAATTCATCGCTGCAATTAATCACGAATCATTATTATTGAAACAATTATTCATATATATAGTTGAATCTATAAAGCTGTATCTTACTGTTTAACTAAAATAGGAATTGGATCTGTCATAAATTTACTGGTCATTTCAATGTAGCAGATACTAATACTACTTGTGTAGCAGGTGACAAATATCTATATACCTTATAAATTTGTTCCTTAAAACCTTTGTTTAACATTTCATCTGATTCATCAAGGACTAGCATCTTAATTGCCCTTGCTCTGAGAACTATTCTTTTTTATCATACCTGAAAATATCATAGAATTATCCATAAATCTATTTTATGTTTGTAACATCCGCTTTGTTAACTACATTATGTACTTACCAAATACTCTGCCAGGTGTTCCAGATACAACACGTTGTCCATAATTTAATTTTCTAATGTCTTTTTCTAGATTGGTACCTCCAATACAATGCATGACACTATACATTCATGAAATTGTTCGATTCAAGGACAACCATTTGTATTTGTGTTGCCAATTCTCTCATAGGAGAAAGAGCCAAGACTCGTGTTTCTCTAACTTGTGTATCTAAAGACTCCGGTATAGCAATCGAGAATGTTGCAGTCTTTCCTGTACCAGATTGGGCTTGTGCAATTACGTCTCGTCCTTTCATTATGGATTTGATAGACCTTTGCTGAATAGCAGAAGGTTTCTCGAAGCCTGTAATAAAAATATTATGTCTATAGGAATTACGAATAAATGAGAATCATATTAACGAAATGAGACTAATAGTGACTATTAATGACGTCTTCGTATGCATGTAAATTAAAGTCATCGAACAGAAATTAGGCAAATCGGTTATATTTACATGCTACACAAAAATATAGAATTACTATAATACCGTAGATTCCTCGTAATAATTCATCTCTGTGTCCCATATTATCAAATGTGGGAATCCATATCTTCGCTGGTTTCAAACTCAACATTTGATAAATCCTCTGTTTGCGCGACACGACGTAATTTTACTTCCACCATTTTTGTCGATATGCACTTCCAGCAAGTTAGAGAACTTTAAACAAAAGTTGAAACACTTGTTTATACCGTCCGGTAGAACTTGTTATAGCTATCTTATAGATTCATTAAAATGTTATTTTACACATTAATTTACTCTCATTCACTGCTTAGTACATACGTACTAAAAAGATACTAAACACAGTTAAACTGTGCAGTCATGGCTCACCTTAGTAAGCAATTCTGCTTCACCGCAGTAAGCATTTTTATCCCCACCATTCTGCTGCGCATCCAGTTTCGCGCAGGTGCATCCATATGCCTGATGCTCTATCTGAAGCACATGGCGCGATATTCGACTTGCGTATTTGCGAACGTCTTGAAACGATTATCATTTCTACAACGATTAAAATTTTCGAAAACCCGTAAGCTACATTTTAGCTAATGCTTTCTACTTTATCAATCAACAAAATTTTGTTAATACTGTGAAGCAGTTTCTCTACCTGCTTCATAATTCTAAGCCGATTGCCCCCGTCTTGGCTTGGTGAGGCACTGTTGTACATTAATTTTTCCATACATACATACATACATTGCATTTTGAATTGATGAACTCAGCGATGCGCAGTCAAATGCGCTTGTCAAACTTCTGGCGCAGAAAATTCTGCTAGAGACGAAACTTTCGCAAAAATCGCTTTCCAGCGCGCATGCGTACACAAGTTTAGTTTAAAATGTAAATTTTAAACTAACTGTTTCGTAGTTATTGCCATTGAAAAATGGATTCAGAAACTAGAACTGTAATCATTGATTTCTAGATAAAAATTCCATAACTGTCGGAAGGTAAAGTAACAACATAATTGTAGGTCTGTCAAGGTCATGCTATTTGGGAACATGAACTTTCAACGACGTGCCAGAAATTTTATCACTGGAGTACGTATAGTTTATGCCTATAAGTTTACGGTGTGGTGGGGTGGAATATGTTTCTGCGTTGGTCGAGGATTTCCGTGAACCACATTCGTCATTCGCTCCGCTGCGTGGACGGTTTGTTGATAGGGAAGGAGCTGGTCTCCAACACGCGACAAGTACGCGTACGTTTATATGGAACCCTAAATTTTGTGCGATTTTATTATTGATTACAATGGCAGCGCAAGACGAAGTCGGCATCGGTGACTTGGTCCTCCTGGATGAGATTACTTTGGAGAAGGTTGTGGATAACTTACGAATCCGGTAAGACTGTGCACCGATCAACACTATCGACTAATCTAATAAAGAAAGAAATTGGCGGGAAATCGCAAAAAATACGAGCTAGTGTTTTCTGCTGTTAGCGTTGACAAGTGTAACACCCGCTTCCCGGTAATTTCTTAATTATTTATACTTCATAGATCATCCACCAAGAGGGCGTGGCTAACCATTAGCAGGTGGTTGCAGTGCAACACAATTGTATTCATATTTGAACTTGACCCACAAAAACTTGTAGCGGACCGCCTGTGTTTCCTTAATATTCTATTAAAATCTGCTGCCGCTGGTGTCCTTCAGCCATCATGATTTTATCGAATCGAGTATCACGATTCGATCGTGAATTTAACCGTCCCAGAAATTTATATTTATAGAAAATCTGGAATTTGTAAATCGCTCGATTCTACGGGTTTCGTGTATTAGGTCGATTTACGCCGAGGCACGATTTTAATTTTCCTAGAAACAATATGCTTAATACCTTATCGGGCTTTATATGTATATTCTATGAGTCATCGCCTTGAGTTCGAACTTGAGTTTTATTAATAGGCTCTGTGCTGTATTTGTAGATATAGCATCGTTTGAAAATTTACGAAAGAAATGTGCCCTTTTGGACGAAGCGCGCGATTAGTTGAAATGGGTGTGAAAAGAACGGCGTTTCAAAGTCAAAGATAAATGTTGATTTCTATTGCATATTACTGATATACAGATAAATGTTATCTTTGACAAACAGAGACTAACTACGGCGGTGGTAGTGTAGTAGAACTTTAAAATGAAAAATGGCGATTAGTCACATTTTTCTCGATAATGTTCTGCAGGTTGAAGTACGAGTTACGATAGAAGTTTGTCACTTATGATTTTTATTCCAGATTCAATGGCGGTAAGATTTACACGTATATCGGAGAAGTTTGTGTCAGTATAAATCCGTACAGAAGCATAAACATATACAATAATGACTACATTAACAAGTATAAAGGTAAGTAATTATATTTGAAGCCAAGAAGTGAAAAAGGTATTATAAAAATTATTACATTTCAGACAGAGAATTATTTGAGAATCCACCACACATATTTGCAATTGCTGACGCGGTGCATAAAGAAATGAAACAACAACGTCGTGACACTTGCATAGTAATCAGCGGAGAATCGGGATCTGGTAAGACTGAAGCGAGTAAAATTATTATGAAATACATTGCCGCAGTCACCAATTTAACCGGTCAACAAGAGATAGAAAGGTATAGTCAAAACTGTTTTAAGAGTAAAGCAGATTTATTATTCATTTATTGTTATGTTTTTGTAGGTCGATAGTATAGATTACTTTTATACAAATAGAAAAATACAGTAAAGCAATTTCATTTGTCTTTAAGATTTCTATTCATACGATTTACAATTACCTTTTTCTTGTATGTCAGAGTAAAAGATATTCTTATTCAATCCAATTCGATATTGGAAGCCTTTGGGAATGCAAAAACAAATAGAAACGATAATTCATCTCGATTTGGGAAGTACATGGATATAGATTTCAATTTTAAGGGAGATCCGATTGGTGGACATGTTACTAATTATTTGTTAGAGAAATCAAGAGTCGTGTACCAGCAAAATGGAGAACGTAATTTTCACTGTTTTTATCAGGTATTGCTTTTTACTTCAACTTTTAGATTTTCTCAGCAATTACAGATTACAAGAAATAGATAACGATTTATAGTTACTGAATGGTTGTGGCGAAGCGGAACTAAATAAGCTCAGACTAGTGAGGGATCCAGCTGCATATTTTTATGTTGGTGCTGGAAACTGTAACAAAGCAAGTCCAACTGATAAGAGTGATTACAAAACGGTGAACTCTGCTATGACCACCCTTGGATTCACACAAAACGAAATACAGACAGTCTGGAATGTTATTGCGGGAATATTACACCTGGTTTGTTATTATTACTTTACAGAAGCAATATAAATTTCATTATAAATCAATCACTTACAGGAATTTTGTATCTATTACAGGGTAATATCACGTTTAAACTCGAGGAGGACAAACTTCATGTTCAAAACAAAGCTGCTTTAAATGATACAGCAATGTTGCTTTCCATCAGTCCTCAGGAATTGAGCACAGCGCTCACACAAAGAGTAATAGCAGCTGGTGGAGAAGTCATGCAAAAGACTCACACTTCGAAACAGGCGGAATTCGGAAGAGATGCATTAGCAAAAGTAACTTTGATGTTTTGAATGAAAAGTAAAATTGCTGTTGAACATTGCTTATTCGGATGTACAAATTTTTCAGGCTGTATACGAGAGATTGTTCACTGATATTGTGTCGCGCGTTAACACCGCTATCAACGTAAACGATACGGAGATCTATAAAAGATATAGAACCGTGATCGGAGTACTCGATATATATGGATTTGAAATTTTTGATATCAACAGCTTCGAGCAATTTTGTATCAATTATTGCAATGAAAAGTTACAACAGCTATTCATTGGTGAGAACATCTTGAAATAAACTAAATTTCTTCGAAAGGATTACGCTATAGAATGTTTCATGTTTTAGAACTGGTGTTGAAACAAGAACAAGAAGAATATGAGAAAGAAGGTATAGCATGGCAAACTATTGAGTATTTCAACAATCAAATAATCTGCGATTTAGTAGAACAGCCTCATAAAGGAGTAATAGCTATTATGGACGAGGCTTGCATAAATGTTGGCAAAGTTACAGATGAAGTTCGTTCTCATTGATCACATTTTATGCCGGAAAATGTTTGGCTTTATTTGATAAGAAAATTGTTTCAGATGCTTTTGGAGAGTATGGATCGAAAATTGATAAATCACGTGCATTATTCTTCTAGACAATTGAAGCCAATGGACAAAGAACTTCAACATAAAACTCAGTTCAAGATTAAACACTATGCCGGAGATGTGATATACAGTATTCATGGCTTTTTAGATAAAAATAAAGATACACTGTTTCAGGACTTTAAACGATTGCTGTACAAGAGTAGCAATCCTATAATCAGCAAAATGTGGCCTGAAGGAGCTCAAAATATTTTAGCGGTACGTTAATAAATATGTATAATATAATCAGTGTACGTTTTCACAGTAAGTTTTGATTATGTTGCTTCCTCAGACAACGAAAAGACCTTTAACAGCTGGAACACTTTTCCGCAATTCCATGATAGCTCTGGTTAAGAATTTAACTAGCAAAGAACCGTACTACGTAAGATGTATAAAGCCAAATGAAGTTAAGTCGCCAGTCGTGTTCGACGAGGAAAGAGTAACTCATCAAGTACGATACTTGGGTCTGGTCGAGAACGTGTTGGTCAGACGGGCTGGTTTCGCATACCGTCAACGATACGATACATTCTTAAAACGGTGCCGAAATGTTCATGATTAATGTGGAATCAAAAACTCACTGCTATATTACTAATCGATTTTGATCTCTCTCTCTCTCTCAGGTATAAAATGATATCCCAATATACTTGGCCAAATTTTAGAGACGGTAGCGATAAAGACGGCGTTCGTACTTTATTGGACGACCAAGGTTTCGGCAACGACGTTAAATACGGCCATACCAAAATATTCATTCGATCGCCTCGAACGCTTTTTGCATTAGAAAAGGTTCGTTTATAAGCAATTACATGAAACACTTTCAATGATTTGTCATCCCAGCGACCCTTTCGATTTTAATGTATTAATTTCTAATAGGCGCGTAGCGACTTGATACCTGGTATTGTGATACTGTTGCAAAAGCAATGGAGAGGATACTTGTGCCGGCAAAAGTATAAAAAGATGAAAGCAGCGCTGATCATAATGAAACATTACCGAAGGTACAAAGTACGTACTTACATCAAAGAGTTCGAGAAGATTTACCGCGACGCAAAGAATATGCGAGATTACGGCAAACGCTTGACTTGGCCCCGTGAAAATTTCGCTGTGAGACACTCGCTTCATTACTTAAGAATGATGTACGAGAGATGGTGGGCGTGGATGATTCTGAGACACATTCCTAGAGAAGATTGGCCCCAATTACGACTGAAGGTGGATACTTTGACGCGCAAGAACGTTCAATCTTTGATAGTACGGATATCAATTTAATTCAATAATACGAATATCATCTTAGATGGCTGCTGGTGTGGTTCTGCGATCGAAACGACAACATTGGGGACAAGACAGACGCTGGGAAGGAAATTATTTATCCAAATCGGACGAGAATCCACATTACAGTACCTTTAATTCCTCGATAAATAATCTACGGAACACCGACCGCTTTAAGACCGTTTTGTTCAGTGCATTTATTAAAAAGACGAACAGGTTTGCATATGGGATTATTGTACAGGGTTTATTCGATCTCATGGTACGATTTGAATCTTTTTAATAGCGAACAAATTGTTCTAGGTTTAATAAACCGAAAGATCGTGTATTAGTAGTGACTGAGCACACGATATACAAGCTTGATAGCTCGAAGTTCAAGAGTTTGAGGAAAGGTATACCAATAGCCGAAATTACAGGGTTGAGCGTATCTCCTGGAAAAGACCAACTAATAACGATTCATTCCAATCGAGGAAACGACTTCATTATGTCAATTATCGCGAAAGATGACAGAGTGGGAGAACTCGTTGGAATTTTAAGTAACAGATATATACAGTGAGTATATATATATATATATATAAGTCTTTCTTTTGAATTCAAGTAATTATGATTGTAAGTAACTAAGGCAATGCATTTTGTAACAGATTACGCTCGGCTGATTTACAAGTTACAGTCGACACAAAATTTAAATGTATGCTAGGAAATAAAAGTAAAGTATTACGGGTAGAGGTGCTACCGGAAGTGCATGAGCCGACGTTTAAAAAGGATGGAGATAATATTGTATATGCTATTCCACCATCGATCGGGATCATCGTTGGAGGTGCCAATACGAGGTTTAGGACGGCTAGTTAGGATGACACCGAAACTGCCTTAATTCAGTCGTCTCTCACAATTATTACAGATCAATTATCAGACAAACATATTTACAGGCTTCATTCTCGCGTTTTGCGAGTTTTCTTATGCATTTATTAATGTACAAATAATATTTTTACTCGTAAGATTGCATAGCCATGAACAGCTTAAAAGAGTTACTACTGCTGTAAATAATGACCGAGACAATCAAACGACGGTTCACTGTGAGAAGAATCTACCAAAACGAGTTCTTTGTAAATACGTTTACGAACGAAAAAAAGCGGTTTAATTCGCAAATAGCGAACGCGCTATTTATGTGAATAATTTGTAAATTATAAAATTGGAGTCGTCGCGTAGCCTAAGAAACTGAAAACAGTATTGCCTTGAAAGGTAATTAATTATCTAATACGGTAGCCTTAAATAACTACGATATGGCCTTTTACTTAAAACTATTCTTGAAATATATTTTTACACTATCATTGAAATTTGATATACTACACGAAACTAGGATGAGACTTTGTAAAATACAATTTATATTTATTTGAAAGCTGCTATATTAAGAGTCGCGACGTTTATTAAGAGTGATCTCTATATAGTTTATCACGTGCATTTAAAATCTTTTAATAATGTTGAAGATATGTAATATCTAAATATATATGTATAGAAACGGCAGATGAGAGTGATAGTAATACTTTATATCTGAAAAAAAATTTTTAAACGCTATATACACGTTGTAAAATGGTGCCATTGTTGAGAAATAAACTGATGTTTTTACGTCTTCGATGATAATGTATTTTCTACAGGAAGTGGGTTCCTACCATTTCTATGTTCACATTCGATTCCATGTTTTAACTTTAAAACGAAAATCTTCTGTCCCGTCGGTTTTTATTGTTAAAGTATAATAGAATACATTTTTTTTTATACAAAACAATTGTATAATCTAATCGATGCGTTGATATAGATATATGTATCCTAATTCTTTTGGTGGATTTTCAGACAATGCAACCTGCAATAGACAATTTGTGTAAGAATTTTATTAAATCTATTGAAATATATTTCATTCTTGTGATACGAACTTTCTCGTCGTTGTATATCACCCATCGTTCGTCTTTTAACAGATGACACACGTAATGCCCTACCGATGTTGCAGGTCCCATATGCGACAAAAAGCCCACTAATTTGTATTCTAAACAATAAACAATTTCGCATAGAGTTTCAAAGGCAGAGCATAAATATTGTTGAAATTTTTATTGAAAAAGAAAAGAAAAGAAAGAACATACGGTGATTCCCATCTCTGAACACCTCCTCGGAATGTCCCTGTTCTTCACCAACGTCCATAGCATCTAATTCAGACTGATGGCTGAAAATCCAATCCGCTGCGCGTTCTAAATTGTTGTCGGTCGCTTTAAGTGCTTTTATTGCTTGTTCCCTCGTAAAGCCCATTCCTACCACCATCGCCACAGCTTCCTCATTAGCTGTGAATTTATCTTTCTCTAAAACACAGTAGACGAGTGAATCATTTATTTGTACCATGCTCTTAAGAGTGTGCTATTCCAGTCTTTAGAAATCGAAGTTTGCTTTCGCTTAGACTAGAATACACTTTTGTTATTTGAGAGAGAGAGAGAGAGACAGAGAGAGAGAGAAAGAGAGAAACAATTTCTACTTTGTAGATCGAATCCGGGCGGTACAAAGGGATCTGCAAAATCGGAGTCCGCAACGTGTTCCATCAACCAGTTTATAGCAGTCTCTGTATCACGGTTCTCCGTGAAATAGAGAGCCTTTTTACAAGCCTCCGATGGAAATCCCATTTCTATCAATTCGTACAGTATCGCAGTATCGAAAGACAATATCAAAGGTTCGGCACCGCTTGTCTCTGGCAACAATTTCTCCGTAGGCTGCAAACCGTTCCCTCGGAGAGAACTCAGATTCAACGTATCCGGCATTTCAACAGCTACATCCAACTTGACCGGTGTCCAGTCTTCTTTTACCGTGAACTTTTTCAAGTGTATCAATAAATAATCTGGAAAAGTGGCTAGTCTGGTTGTCCTGAAAACAATTCCACTTGTCAACGATGTATCATTATAAATTGCGCAATGTGTACTGCTTACTTCAGTGCTGTTGTTTTCTCGTTTAGGGCTGAACTATAAAATTGCTCGACCGTTTCAGGCCGAATGATCGCCTGCAGACAAGACGAAAGTTTTATACGAGGTCTAACTAATGTATTTGAGTCTAGCTTCTGGCCTTTCGTTTCTGCTTCCAGCTTTAAAGCTTCGTATGCCGCAACTTCTTCCTAAAAATATATCTGATAAATAGTATACGATACGTGTGAAATGGGCAAAAGCTTCAATTGCATTATACCAAATATTACCTTATTTATCGCAGATTCTACAGGTATAGGGAGTGGCAGTAGATATTCTGGACGATGAGTGTATTTTACTTTATTCGAACGACTGCACTGGTACCTTTCCTCGACTTTGAACTTAAAACAGTCAGTAGGATTCGATTGATGGCGACTGTGACGCTGTTCGATCAATTTCCTGATATTAGTATTGCAATTTGAACTTGACACGAATGATTACAAGTAGCAAGAACTGTAGAAAAGTGAATATTAATTACGTCTATGACATTTATTATGTGAAGAATAAACTCTTGTGCATCCTGTTGTCCATTCAAAGAAAATACGGGGTGCCCACGGCCAACTAACGTCTTGAACATCCGAGGAGAAATACCTTGGCGCGATTCCTCTTCGTTATTCGTGTTTGGTTGCACCGAATATTTACCAGAAAGTAAACCGATCCCAAGTTTGGCCCTGCAACATTCATTCCTATTAGCAAACACTTTTTGTATCGCTCTACATTCTACAGGATGAGTCTCTTAAGTTGTCACATTAGATGACTCTTCCCTGTATAATTGCAGGACTACTTCTACTTGTACGAACGTACATCTGAACGTTAAAGTCACCCGCTGGATCGGTATAATTTTGTTGGAATATCTCTGGAGCAAGATCTATATACCTGAAATTGATTTTGGAGTGTTGATACCGATAATGTTAGTTTGCTTGAAATAAAGTTTTACTCCACAAACCTTTTAATAAAATCTGGAATCACAAATAACATTTGCATAACGCTACTTATATAACAAGAATTTCCCAAGTTGGCCAGACCCGTATATCCAGGTCCATATAATGGTGTTAATTTGCTTGCTGCTTCTTGGAGTGCTACCCATTCGCCAAACTTCTGGTTGAGATCCAATTCAAGCTCTATCATGGATTTATCAGTTTTCTCCATTTGAGTAATATTGATGCCCCAGTGAGCTAAATGTTGTACTAAATTTGGATCCTCGACCATATCGTCTTCGTCATAAGAATACACATCTCCTTTTCCTTCTTTAGTTATGGTTCCTAGTTTCACAGCCAAAGGATAGCCGGTAATTCTATAGTGTTCAACAGCATGATCATTTCCACCAGTTCCATCGTAAAATTTACGTCCACACAGAATACTGCCATCGGTTAAATTGAGCCATAGATTTTGGGTTAGGTCACATTTCTCGCATTTCCATCCGCTTGGAGGTATCTTCCTTCTGTTGTCTAATTGTTTAAGACTAGCTGCATGCCTAAAAATTTAATGACCATTTAAGTTATTATCCCGGCATGCTTATATCAAGTTTTTAATGCACTATTTTACTTCGAAACTGCTTTCAATTCTCCGTCCCAAGTTCCAGACAATGCTTCTATCTCTGCTAACTTTGTAGCAGATTCTGCCTCCAGTATACATGTAATAGCTTGCACAACCTATATAACGACAAACATAATATGGATGGGACATTTTACTTTACAGTCTCGTACACGTACCTTCTCGGGTAAGTTGTCTGTTGGATAAGTTATCATTGTGAAATTTGGTAAAATAACAATTTGGTAAGTTTCGTGGTAAATGTATTTTTGTTGATCCGGTGCAAATCCATCGGATGTTCCAATAGCCAGTCTTGTAATTTTTTTTTCAGGACCTTCTCCTTGAGGTTCTGACGGGATCTGTGAAAGTCGCGTAACGTCTTCTCATAAATTTCTTCGAATGCTCATAGATCCATACAACGGTAACAGACTCGATTAGCAATACTTACTTCTTCTTTAGTTCGTTTGATGTGTAAAAACACAGGATTTTTGGATAACAAGTAATAACGCTGTACATGATCTTGACCCAATCCCAAAAAACTGGAGAGGCTCACATACAAACCAGTCAGACTATCCTGCGTAACAAGAACCAATAATTACAACCATTCTAATCTTTAATTAATAGATTAATCGATTAATTGAAACATGTATTAAGAATTTTAATAATTTTCAATCGTGATGAAACATATAAACCGGCTTTAGGGTTTACGTTTCGTTATATTTAGTGCACTCGTAAACACCAGAAATACAAAAGATCTGCGGATTACTAATTACTAAATGAACATGACATCTTACTGGGGTGTCGAAAGAATAAACACACTCGTCCTTGTATATTTTATCGTGTTTTTCTGGTATTCTTATAGTGGACAAGTGTTCCATTAACTCCTCCATCGTGGATCGTAGCTCCTATGAAGTCGAACTGAAAAGCTGTCTTCGATAAGAAAAAAAATTTCTCTCAGGCGAAATCACAAAGTAACGTGTTCGAAAATTTGTTGGTTTCCCGTATCGATGATATGCGCGATTTGAGAAACGAGATGAGAGAACCGGAACGTATTCGATTCTTCTTGTTTCTCTTTAAAAGCCAGTGGTACTCAATCGCCAACCACAACGCTTTTCTATTTCAACTTAGTGTATGATTGTTTCGCAATGTACACATACGTATGTATGTATATATATGCATACATGTGTGCATGCATACACACGCGTTGAAAGAACTCGATCAAAAGTAAAGACTGAAATATGTTCATAACACGCTTTGTTTTTTAGAAAATCAAGTTTAAAAATTTGCAAGCAAATACATAAATGTGTACAGTTATACATTGTATATGTACATGTATGTATGTAGTTACAAACAGACGATGTCTATTCAAAACACGCGGGCTTCATGACTTTTCAAATTTGTTTTTCTCAAAATGAAGCGTATAAAGAAATCTATTATGTTTTTTGCTTGTCCCTTGAATACTGGAACACTCTGTACGTATGTACATTTTTTGGGTGTCTAGTATACACAGTTATTTGTACAAATAAAACATTAAAAGCTGAATTCTAACAGATTCATATTTCATAGAAAGTATTTTTATCCGTACTGTTGCACAGCATATTTTTAACTCTGGAAACATGACTGGCACTTAAGAACAAAAGTTATTGTCGTGACTCTGATTATGATCTAAGACCTAAGGTTTGAATGGAATCAGTTGAGGCAAATATTTTTCTGTCACAACATTGCCAGTAATGCATTCCCTTAGTTAGAGATTTTAGATTCTCGAGGAAGCGGCTCTTTTTTAAAATAGTGCACATATTAAAAAGTCCTTGATCAAAAGAATACATAAATTAAACAATAAAAGTCTGGTGTTTTCTCAATACATATGTAGTATACATCATTCATGTAACATTTCTTTGAATAGACAGAGGCCCACATACATTACAATGTTCTGTAACACACACGTATGTTCGTATGCTTATTTATACGTATGTGATGATTCATTCTGTTATTAACCTACAATCAAATGTGCGTTCCACCGACCGTATTACACTGAAAAATGATCACGTAAACTGGAATATTAAATGACAGTGTCCATCTAAAGTCACGTGTAATGCTGATGATCAATTCTAATGTACATTTAATTTCGGAAGAATGGAAAAAGAAAGGTAGATATCTCTTGTTTTGACGATTTACATATACAGTAGTCCACAGAAGTGTTCGTACACAGCCACGGAATTAAATCGGTTTAATTATTATTGAAGTGAAGCTGTTAGAAGTTTAAGAGGATTAAATTATATGAAGCCTTTTGTGCGCCACTGTGAACAATATTTATTTAACACATACATAAACCAATATAATAAGCAAATCTTTTAACATGCAGTTAGACATGGATAAATTAATGTACAAATCGTGATTAAGTGTTAATATTCTATATTATTTACTGTAGGTTCACAATGCTCCTTTTGGAGCCGGGAGAAATATTTTTTGAAGATTATAGCGTTCAAATGAAAGCGCTCGATGTTTCTACCTCAGAAGAACAGAAATGGATAGATGGGAGATTGAAATTATGTTCAAAATCATTAGTATTTGTAACTAAGGATATCAATCAGCCTTTGATAAAAGTACAACTCAGAGAAGCAATAGATATCGATGAATGTGAGTCTGTTGACACCACGTTGAAGTAGGTATTTTTATTTATTACCGTTTAAAAGTAAGTCATATTTATAGACTTATTTTCTTATTTTTATTAACAATTTATAGTAACCTATTGTCAGTGAATTGTAAGCAATATGTAGAAATGTTGGAGAAAAATATTTTGGCTCCGTACAAATTTATCCATAAACAAGCCACTTTGTATTTTCACTTTAATTATGCAAAAATAGAAGACTGTCTCCCACAAATTTTACAATTGTTTAGAGCAGCAACATTGCCAACAGCCGAACAGAACGCTATGGTATACCTTATGATTATTATTTTTCTGATTAGTCATTATATTAACGGTTAAGTAATTAATATATCGCTGTTGAATAGATTATGGCTATTGTACATTCTAGACAATCAAGGGTGTCGTTTGATACATCTTGGTTGGAGGATCTGTATGAACAAGTTGTGTTAGAAACTCAAGCAAGTAAAGTATTACCGCTCGTCATAAATCCAGGAAGGATATTGTTAACAACTTCTAGAATATATTTCCAGCCTTATAATAATTTGGATCAGGTACGATTTTTGGCAATAGTTGTACGTTATCGTGTATAGACGTATACATAGACTGTGAATATTTCTAAATACATAATACTCGTCATGGTTATTAAGCTATCGATATTGTTTCCAGCATCCGGTTTTAAAAATACAACTGAAAGAGATTATTAATGTTATAAAGAGAAGATTTCTTTTAAGACAAGTTGTAAGTATTGCATTCGAAAGTTTTTGCACATAAATATTGTGATCATTTTATTTAATCATATTATCTGCTACAGGGGCTCGAAATTAATTGGACAAAGCAGCCAGAGAATAAAACGGAGCACCTCTTCATATCATTGAACAATCAACACGATAGAGATGAACTTTATAAGAGTCTATTAAATCAACCAGCAGTGTCTTTGGAAAGAATACCTCAAGATCAAATGACCATGAGATGGCAAAGCGGTTCTTTATCAAATTACGATTACCTCCTGTACATTAATAGGTAATTTTTCTGCAAAACTAGAGTCTTATCAGAGTTTTATCAGAGTTCGTAACTAACGTGTTTCTTCAGTTTGGCAGATAGAACTTTTCATGATTTGACTCAGTATCCAATAATGCCATGGATAATACAAGACTATACATCTTCTACGTTAGAATTAAATGATCCTAACGTGTACAGAGATCTTTCAAAACCTATTGGAGCACTTGAATCCGACAGATTAGAAAGACTGAAGGTATATATTTTTTGTGTTAAATATTAATTACATCGTTCGACTTTCTTTACTATGAAAGAAAATAATAAGCGGTTATATATTTCAGGAACGATATGCAGAAATGTCGGAACCAAAATTTTTGTATGGTTCGCATTACAGTGCCCCCGGATTTGTATTATTTTATTTAGTACGAAAATATCCTCAGTATATGTTGTGTCTACAAAATGGCAGATTCGACCATCCAGATAGAATGTTCAACAGGTACGTATATATTTTAGAAAAACTATAACACAACAATTAGTTGGAAGAATGAAATTGACAAATTTAAATTCGCAAAAACTTCAAAGATTGCGTTTCGTATTGAATAGTTAAAGACAAGTTTCAACAAATGCATACGAATGTAATTTTGTGTCGTGCAGACCAGACAAGATGTAACGGTTAACGCTTCTTAAACTGTAAAAAGTGCATAATGACTGTGTCGACTCTGCAGAATCGATTTTTTGTTTCACACTTACCGACAAAAACACCTAACAGTGTAGCTGACGTATGGAAAAATGTTTTGGTGAACATGTCTGACTTTAAAGAACTGGTTCCGGAATTTTATGATACAAACAGTGCTGGTGATTTTTTAGTGAATAGTTATAGTATCGATTTCGGTTACCGACACAATGGTACAAAAATTGGAGATGTACAATTACCACCATGGGCGAAAGGTACTGTACATCTACGTTTATAATTTGCCATTCTAACGTATTTTATTAAGACAACTATTATGAAATTTTAGGACCAACACATTTTATACAAGTATTAAGAGATGCTCTAGAAAGTGACTACGTGTCTCGTAATCTTCATCAGTGGATTGATTTAATATTTGGATACAAACAAAGGGGAATAGAAGCTGTGAAAGCCGACAACGGTACATCTCAATGTTTATTTCCAAAACTAATATATAAATAGTATATATATTTTATGATACATTGTATTTCAGTATTTTTTCATTTATGCTACGAGGGAGCTATAGATTTAGATACCATTCGAGATGCTAACGACAGACACGGTATAGAAGTACAAATAATGGAGTTTGGACAAATACCAAAACAAATATTCACGTTACCTCACCCTAAACGCTCTGTTCCATTCATGGAGACATTGTACAGCGAAACTGCTTTGCTGTCATTAAAATGTGGATCGGGTATGTCACATTTTACCGTGGCTCACACCATAGTGAAATAATTATTTTAAGAAGAATAACAATTTCTTCCAGAAAATGTAAATGTCGGTGAAAAAGTATTTGAATTATCCGAATTAATGACATTTCAATCGCATAAAGAAAGCGTAAGCTGTTTGTTAGTGATGAATACAGGAAAAATGGACGAAGTGGTGTCTGTGGGACAAGATGGAACATTGAAATTTTTCAGTACTGAAACGAAAAAATTAACACGTAGCGTAGCTCTGTCGATGCTACCACTTTCTTCTTGCATATCGTACTGCACGACTTCCCATGACAATATATTAGTTGTTGGTTCCTGGGATAATTCATTGTATGTATTCGAAATGTGAAACAAAAACGAACCACTGTGACTACCGTTTCCTCGCTCATTCGTAAACTATTTGTTATAGAATATTTTATGACGTCGAATTCGGCAGAGTTATAGACATACTTCAAGGTCACGAAGATGCTGTTTCCTGTTTAGCAATAAGTACTTCTCGTCAGATTATTATATCTAGTTCATGGGACTGTACAGCGAAAGTTTGGCGAACTTATGTTTCCGGGAAGAAAATTAAACCAGCAGATTATCTTATTGCTCAATTAGATCATGACTCCAAAGTGACTTGCATCAATATATCCAGGTAAAGTTTTCCTTTAAAATGCCTCAAGTAATTTACGGAATTGTAACTATCAGAATTTTTATAGGGATGAGACGTTATTAATATCTGGCACGGAAGATGGAGAAATTTTTTTGTGGAATCTAGACACTTATAATCTGCAACTTACTGTGAAAGGTAAACATTAAAAAGAAAAAAAATGCTACTTTTATCGTTGCATTTCTAAGTATATAATTTATTTTTCTGCAGGACATTCTGGCAGAATAAATGCAATGACGTTTGATCCAGAAGGCAAAAGCATTATATCGTGTGCAGAAGACAAAGCATTGAATATAATCGATATTTTAACAAGTACACAGATTTATCGTACAACTATAGAACACGAACCATTAACATTGTCATGGTTCAGAATCTTTTTATTGATAGGAGACAGCAATGGAAATATTAATGTGTGGCACCGTGCAGATGCAGTTTTCGTTTCGCAAATACACTGTCATGATGGTAAAATATATTTCATTTATTTGTATTTTTTCGTACATGCAAGAACTCGTTTAAAATAGTTTCTTTTTTTAAGCGATTAAAATATTATTTTTAGGGCCAATTTACGCATTGTCCGTGTCCGCAGAAAATAATGTTATTTTAACTGGTGGTAAGGATAGAAAAATAATTGTGTGGGAATGCAAAAAATTATGATTTTCCTTGTAACATCGCGGATGAAAAAATTTGTTTATAAAGTCGATTGTGAGAACAGTATACAGAGAATTTTTAACGTAAGAACAATATAACAGGCAAACTAATTGCATTTTATCGTGCAACACTCGTTTGATAATTTGTTACAATGTTTGTTGATAGTCTCTAAATATATATGGTCGTACGAGTTTACAAGATTCTAGGCTTTATTTTATACTGCGACGTATTCTTAACGATTTGTTAAAATAATTTGTCGAATGTGTTCCATTTAATATGCTGCTTTTTTTTTGTAAATCGTGCATTTGGTCATAAATATTATTCTACAATAAACTGGTACACAGTAAGAGCCATATATACATTACAATAAAACGTGCGATCGTACACATTCTTACATGTTAAGTTTTAATGCTCAAATTCGATCTAAGAATAAACAACACAAGATTAATATAAACGACAGTTAGTTCAACGCGAAATTGAAATATGAAATGCAAACACAATGCACCTTTACTAGTACTGTTACTAGAAATTTGGATGCTGACTAGTACTATTAAACATTTGAGATACTAAAAAGAATATTATAGTGGCTTTCTTTTTTTAACGAAAACGTTTGTATTTTTCATTTAGTTTCATTGATGCGATTTTGTCGTTACCATCGGGAAAACTAATTCGGTTTCCTTTTTCGTAGTTATTTTCATATAGTCAAATACGAATATCCTAAAAAACACTCGTACAAATAAAACATACAAACGCAGACTTAAATTATTTTCCACTATTATTTTCAATATTTAATCACATCTACCACACGCAAACACATACGCACGCTTACGCGCGCGTACTTCTTTTGTCTTATCTACTTAGAGAGAAGCGAGAATGGTCCAGATGTTTCAGCTGTTCGTATGTTATAAAAAATATGATGTTCCATGGGCCCATTCTGAACCAAGTAGGAATGAAACCTTTGTACAATGCTAGGAATCCTTCATTTTTAAACGTCTACAAACAAATAAATTGTTACGATTGTGCGAATTATGTATTTGAAACTACAGGTTGAATTAGTTAACATGACGACTTGAAGAAACAGAAGAACAAGTTTATAAAGTCGTCACGTTTGGTAACTACCTACCTGGACGAAACAGTCTATACTTCCACTGTAAATATGAGGAGGCAATGTGCCGACTGTGTTACGTATTCTTCTCTGATTCATTAACCGCGTCTGCAATAATATTGTTGTCTAGTAAAAAGATTCTAATGAATAAAAAAAGCAAAATATACTTACACGGACAACGTCTATAGGGGTAGAAGCTACAGCACTTCCCGTACTTGCTATGAAGCTGGACCTGAAATGAACATATATGGGTAAACAGGATGATAGTTGAAATAATCCTATATCGAATTTGAATCTCAGAATTATTAATATATATGCAAGTGAAGATAATAAAGTTTTTATATTATTCTCTCTAGAATAATTTAGAATAATAACCCTTATCCAGGCATAATTTATAAAAATGCGAATCGTGATGTCGAATGTAGTATGCAGAGTATTATTTAATGCAGAAAATTTAATTTTCGGTCTTACCGAGCGAGATAAAATAATATAAAGGGAGCGAACAAAAGTGAATATTAATGAAATGATCGAATGTTAAGGTGATGGACGAATGCTAACCAAACAATGTTCGTGAAGAAAATTCAAGATGTTTTGTAATCTCGATAACAGTTTGAACGAATGTTATACGAGGTAGGAATGTCAAATGTGACTTCCATTTAGTTTCTTTGTAGTCATCTTAAAATCCATGTACTGCATGTGCCCATATACACGACAGAGCGAAAGAACCTGGAAATAAAATTTTTCATCTTTAGAAAAATATTACTTCCTTCTTAAAAAATTGTATCACCAACACAGCGCTTAATGAAGTTAGGTACTATTCCTGGGCCTAAATCTCTTTCTTTGTACAAAATGTTACCACTTCTTTTAAGAAAAGTCATACATAAAGGACAAAATATACATATAGTATAGTTGTTATTGAGAGTAATGAAAAATAATAGGTATATTTATATTTAACTTAATTTCATTGAATATACTCACATGACATCACATACTGTAAAAAAGTATAAACAATTGATTGATTTATCTTAATAATATTACAAAAGGTTGTTAGTGCAATAGTAGTGTAAAATCGAATATATTATAAGATGCAAACAGCCCAGATAAGGGTTAATCATTATTAAAATTGAGATATTATAACATATATGTCCATGTGAATTAAGTATATATATATCTGTGTATATACTTGAGTACAATTAAGAAATTAGTATTAACATTACCGCATACATTAGTGCATTTTACTTACAGAAAATGATTAGTGACACTGTCTTCCAGAAGAGCTATAAGTTTATTTTTAGTATAGTCATATATAGGTAATTCTACAGCAGCGATAACTGCTGCCCTTTGCGCAGTAGGTCCTACACCCTGTACAAAAGCAGATTAGTAGAAAATATTTTTCACACGAAACATATTTAAACATAAATATTTTAGATACCTTCCACAAACCGCGTATACCCTCGTGTCGGTAAACATCTCGAAAACAACCATACAAAGACAAATTTGAGTCGAAACCTGTTACTTGCATACGAACTTTGACTACATCCGTGGGATTGGCTATCGCACTCGATATGGCTCCTGCTACAGCACCGCAAACAATACTTATAACAACCAAGTCATCCGTCTCCCATTTCTCCATGGCTGTTTGCTTTAACGAATAATAGGTGCCAAATTTTATGGTTCCATAAGTGGCTTGTCTTAAAATAGCCGAGCTAATTCTGTTCGATAAAATGTGTTGGAACGACGTATAAGTATCTCATAATTAATATACGATTATTAAGAAATCATACCTACCCAGAATACAAAGCTTTGAATCCTTCTTCTTTCGATATCTGCACAAGAGCATCCGTCATGCCAGAATATTTTAAATGAGCGTATCTTTTGTCAAATTTCTGGCCTTGAATTTGTAGACGAGTTTTCGTTGTGTCTAAAGGAAAAGTACCTGCCAAAAGAAAACCTTATGAAAATGACAAATCAAATAATTGTATAATAATTATGTTTCACACGATTTCATTGTCCTTACCTAACTCTGCGATAATCGAAGCTAATCCTCCGTAAACAAAAGGCCTCCAATCCTTCCAGTGACTTTCTCCCATTACACCGTTGACAATATCTTACAATGGAAAAAAGAGATCGATTAAACTTTGTAAAACAATCCTCACAATTGCCCGAACACGATCGAACAACAGTCGATCGAACAAATTTGATTCTAGGTTAAGTTTCTTGAGACGAGCTTCGCAGAACTACACATGGATTGGTCAACAAAATGTTTTCGGTTAAAATTAAATGTATGCACACTAGACACGTCGACGCATGCATATTTCATTGCAATTAAATTACAATGCTAACATTTGTAACAGCGGTAATTACGACTCGGTACCTACGGACGTAGGCGATAGAATTTAAAGCGATGCAGAGAATTTATAATCGAGAAATTTCTATAAATAATAAATATAAATTGAGGGATTTATATTTTTACTTGAACTAAATACGATAAGTTTAAGTTTTATTCGATACACAAGTTGTTTGTCAGTCGGTTCGAAATTCTGAACGTAGCTAGAGTTTTACAGAATAACAGCCGATCAGTGAGAATTCGTTACGTTACGGTGAACGATATTTGTAAGATCACTGCATTTAATATAATGTTAACGCTACAATGTTTGAACTACATGTAAAGATGTAATATCATTAAATCAATGATTCTGACAAATTGTTCAAATTTCGTATTCAATTCGCATTCCGATGAATCAGATTGTATAGCAACATGTAAGGCCATCTACAGGAAAATACACAAATCACAACATTCTTACAATTTGTGTGTTTCTGATATTTTTACATGAATGGCTCAATTATCATTTTCTGCACTTATTATATAGGGGGAATTTTTCGGAATGACTTATAGTATAGTAGCGATTACTTTCAACACAGACTTAGGATTCGTACAGACATTGCATCTTATGGTCTTTTCTGTCTCACCTTTTTAGTGCTCTTCTAGAGTACGGATCCCAAATCTGTGCTTCCAACTTTAATTTAAGCTAGATTACCTTAAAAACGTTGCATAAAAATACGTGCAATTTATTAACTGATCATTGATTGCTTTTTGAAAATAAAGATATCAGTTGATTACCGACAGTTTCTCCATAAGATATGGTACAAAATATACAGGTCTTGGGATCCTAAGTCTGTATCTCTTCTTTAGTTGTGGCAAAGCACTGAAATCGATACTCTACGTTACCAACAGTTGATTTTGTCCAATAGTTTGAGGATATCGCCGTTAAAACTAATTGGCGCTACACCCATGAATAGAGCTTCGCGATTTCGCCGCAAGTCACTCTATACTGGTGTAATTTACCTGGTTCATTGCCCCCCCCCCCGCCGCCTTTCCGAAAAGCGACCAGAAATGATCCACAAAAATGACAAAAATCAATAATAGGACTCCTACGCAATGAATCGAATCGTTCTTTAAGAAACCAAACATCAAGGCACACACGAAGCATTAAGGATAACGAATGAATTTTATAATGACAATAACACAATAGCGTAATGGAAATCAGGAGTACGTATGGCTTCCATCAGGAAAGTACAAACTAGTTTTAAGACGCGAGGAATTATAGAGTATTTTTTCTGTGTCGTTTGGTTTTATATCTCTTTCTTTCTTATATCGTATTCCGACTTTTTTTCTAAGTTTCAAGCTAATCGTAAAGTACACAAAGGTGCAAGAGCTAGAATTGCGACGTTGCCATTTCACCCCGGATCCTAAAACGGGGAACGGGACAACAACTGGAATTTTACAGGTCCTTAGGCGGGGCCACGAACATGGTTGTTCCATCGTGAAGGAATAAACAACGTGGGGTTTTCCTCGACGAGGTTTACGGCACGGATGCGACGAAGATTATTTTTCAGAGTAAACATCTTTTCCTTACATTTTGCGACTATTCGGCATCCGTGTTTCGTTTCCGTCTTCCTCAATAATCATGGCG